CACAGTATACTAGCAAATGACAAAATACAGTACAAAGAGAAAACTTTCAGTTGCAACTATTGAGCAGATTACACTATATTACTCCCCGATGTAGGGGAAAATAGTTCCAATAAAATACTGATTATTTTACCTAGCCTTCTCCCATCAAAACTTAATCCCCGAAGTACTAAGGGAATTTATTGTGTTGGCAAACTTTGTTTTAGCAGTGAAATAATATTGCGTTACTAGTCCTGATAATATGATTTTACCAGACGAGTGTGGTCGCCCCATGGGAGACGAAGTCAAGTGCGGGATTACCATACGAACATCATAGTAACACACCTAGACAGACTTACTTTGTATTTGTCCCTAAAGGCCAAACCAAGTCAAAAAGAACGGATTTTCATGACATTTGGTACAAACTTGTAACCTATACCTACGTTTATTCGAACAAGGATGTCGAATCAGTATGAACGAACTATGGAAACTGGGTTTTATAGAGGAAAGGGGGTTTCCTCATTTTTCTCCCTCTAAGCATAAAACTTTGAAATCTATACTAAATCATTTTATTATAGAGCATAATAAGCTATTATAATATTTTAGCGCCATACGCTGAATGGTTACAGAGAAAGTTTAAACCAGTAACTAAAAGAAATTTATCTACTATTTAAATTTAATAACCCACTTAAGTCTTCCCCGTGGCAGCAAACCTAAGTACTAGTACTCTAGTTTATTCAAAAACGGAATTATTAATATATAAATTTAATTTTAAGGAAATATTTTGGTAGAAATCAAATTGTGAATAGAAATTATTTTGTCTGCAGGCTTTATAATTATTTTGGAATATTTCTCTTTACATTTACATGTGTAGTTTCTATTTAGCTTGTTTGCGTTCAATTTACAAACAAAATTCGCTAACGCATTTTCTATGGTCATTCTGGAAATCAAAATGTTGCAGAGTCATGCATATCACAAACAGTGCGTTGGTATTGCAAAAATCCCCAATCGCTCAACCACTGTCTGCAGTTAGTAGATTAATGACGCAATTTGCTGCGAGCGGGGTTGTTACCCGTGACGTCACGACTTTTGTCCGGCCTCCGCCCACCAGTCACGAGTGAGGCGAAGACCTGACATCTCACGTGCAACAAGTAGATGGCCGAGGTCAAAGTCCAAGGTCACGGTCAAGGCACAGCATCACGGACAATGGGCAATGGTTTTATTCATAGGTTTCCTCGTGCATGGGAAACACATCAATAAACCAAGCACTAATTAGGATTTCTCTATGAAACCTAGCTTGGAGAAATTACATTCAAGAATCACCATCTGAAGATACGGATGTAATAAGAAACTGCCAACTCTATTCGACATACTTACTCATATTCTAAATATTAATCCGACGACAAAAATATACATGTTAAAATGGCGGCCGATTTATAATCTATCACGGTCTTTGATTTGGCCTAATGATGACAGGTGGTCGAAATCTATTGTCGTTGTAATATACAGGGCGATTCTAAATTATTGTTACATTTATTAAACACTATAAATGAAAAACTATACAACCTATCATAACAGGGTGAGAACCAATTGAAAGAGCAGATTCTAAAGTTTTGTTTGACACCACTTTGGTAAACATACTTACAAAATTAGACTCTCCAGACATTTTTAGATTTTAAATATGATTTTAAATTAATTACACATTTCTACCTTCCTGAATCTCAAAACTTAATACTGTTCGTTAAATTGTCAAAAGTTATAATGATACCACTAAGGGTCAATTAGTTCTATAATTTACCGTTCAGTTGTTGTTCACCATTATTGTAAGCTGCGACGAACATGACTTTGAAAGAGCAAAATGGGTTCTGTGTTTTAGATTTTCATTGATTTTAAACTGTCTGGTTAATATAAAATCGTAATTAAAATCTAAAAATGTATGTAGAGGCTTATTTTGCAACTATGATTATCAAAGTGGTGTTACACAAAACTTTATAATCTCCTCTTTCAATTGATCCTCATCCCGTGATGATAGGTGATGCTGATAGTTTTTCATTTATAGAGTTTAAAAAGTGTAACAATAATTTAGAATCACCCTCTATTTTAATTATATAATAGATATGCCTGTATTCCGACTTGTAAGATACCGTATTTAATTATACCAGTGTATATCACCTACACAAAAATATACTTACAATGCCAAAGAAGAACTAATTTAAATACAAGATGCCGTCACAAGGGGTGCCCTAAATGAGAATTCAGGGAAGGTTGATTGAAAAGATTACGGTTTACGTCACTATCAGAGGGTTATTTTACCAAAATCTTGGGCAATACTGTTGTACGAGTAAAATTCATATCTAATATTGTTTAGCTCAGTTTTGAATGTTCAAAAAGTAAATCGGATTTTCCTAAACTACAATGGACGGATGAACGGATTTTCGGATGAAACTATGCATGATATAATTTAAAATGTTACACCTTTGTACATTTTATATTTATTACATAATTTACTCAAAATTCATTACTGTAAGCGTACATCTTCAACTGTTAATTTTTTAAGACAGTATACGTAACGTAAGCAATGTATTGCGAAACACCTTGCAAGGTCATTGAATATATTATATTCAATGGCATAAGTCATACAAAGGTTCGCTAAAACGAACCTGTTCACACTTATTTCAACATCTGCTAACATCCTGTGAAGAGCACGCTCAATAACCATTGGTAATATTTGTAGATTGTATTACGATATAGAAGTAAATAACTCACTGAAACATTACGAAAGAAAGAAGGTCTTTTAGTTTTAAAACCACAGATAACAAACAGAACTATTAAAAACCCTCCAAAATGTATGTTTCAATCCGTGATTCAACCTGAGTGATGAGTGACCCGCTAATATGTTTATACTATACATGTCATACTTGAAGTGATTTAGCCTATTTAATGTATTTTTTAATGTAAAAATGGTGTTACCGTTGGAAGAATAATAATAAATAAATAAATATTTCACACTCTGGATACAAATATGTTTACAAAGATCTATGCAAATTTTAGCGGGAAACGCGTTTCTAATTTATAAATCTGACGTAGAGCCAGTTTGTTATTTAAGGAAATACAATGGCTTTTATTATGAAAGTTTCAAGGTACTTTTCGATTTTTTTGTAGAATTTTGTATTTTGATGTATTGCCCAAGCAGTCTCCAACGGACCACACCTGTACCCTATATATAAAATAGTCAAGAAAGAGGTGGTATGTATTCAACAAATCTTTTAAAAAAATATGACATACTAATTGAAAAACCAAATGTATAGACAGTAAAGTCTATTTGATAACTTTTGTTGCGTAATACTACATAGTGCAATGTAAATCTTATCTAATCCTCCTCTACTGGAAATTTCGAAGTTAATTGATGTTCGGTGTTGCTTCAAAGCTAAAAAAACCCTGAATATTTGTAAAGTGCACAACCATTTTACTAGTTTCCCGATAACAGCCAAATTTATTTTATAAGGAGTTCGTACCGTTAAAATTCATCTGTGGGTTTTAACATGTTTTACAGAATATTACATTGGTAGGTGTGTTCCTTTTACGTCCTTTACAATGGCTGTACAATGTCGAGAAAGTATTTTCACGTCAAAATGGTTTATAATGAGTTTACTTTTTGAGTAGTTCCTAAAGTTGAACTAAAAAATAAACTCTTATCTTCTTAGTTTCGTATTTGGAGAGCCCTTGGTTCCCTACGGACTGTGGATAGTGAAACCTAGAAAACGTTGGTTAAAACGTACTGATACCTCCACTTATAACTTGTCAGTACAATAAGCCTTATACAGTAAAGTATTAAAGTAAACTTTACAGGCTTGCCTCTTGCTTTGTTCAATACATTTCACGCGCCTTTCATGGCCTTTGAAACATCCATTGAGGCAAACGAGGTAAAAGTAAAATTAAAAGAAAAAATCTTAAAAAGCAATAATCTGATTTTGAAGTGTTGTTAGTGGATGTAGCTGAATAACTACACAATCACTCATATTTCTACCAAAAACTGTACAAGGATATCAAATCATTTTTTAGTGATAATAAATTTACGAAAAGTAAAATTATCCGGAAGATAACCCCATGAGTGTAGTTGTATGGCAGTGACATTGAATATATGCCAACCAGTGTCGTGAAAATCGTTCCAAGAAACCAGATTTCTGGTTGTCGTCACTCAGATAGTCAAATATCACGTGACTTTGTTTGTTTTTTACATCAACAGTATAAATTCCATCTGCGGCTTTGGCCAATAACTTCCTTGTTGACCTTGGATGCGATAGTAGTTTGAACCTGATAATCGAATCGAAACAGACTTCGATTCACGGAAGCTATTTTAATCAAAGTGTACAAGTTGACTTTAGATACCGTTGCTGAAGTAGAACCAGTAGAACCATAGACTAACCAGTAGAACTCAGAGCAGCTGTAGGATTTTTTGAACATACAGCATACAGCCATGAATCTCTCTACAGTGCGCTACTGTTAACTTTAACCTTTCCTTTTACCCTCTTTTATAGTTGGACATGACACAAAATATGCTCTTACTACAAGTTGTTTTTTCACTTTGGCTTATGTGTCCTCCGACAGAAATCGGTGTTTGAAATCAGCGCACTCTCTGTCGTATTTTTCTAGTAATCGTGCGTTAGCTCCATTCAAAATAGGCTACGTTTATTTTTTATTTAAAAAATCTGGCTAGAGAAAACGTTGGATTGGAGTGTGTAGGCCCTACTCCTATAGATAGTCAAATAAATGTGCGATAAATATACATTATGAAGACAGTTTTTTTTCGACATAGGTAGACCCTAACATCGGATTTTCTGTTTTGGCGTAGGGTTTTCGTGTCTATGACAAAAAAATATATGCCTGTAAATTATGTAATTTAACTCTAACAAACCAAAAATGCAGAATTTGCAAGTAAATTCATTTATTCCATATCACTTCGAAAACAAGAATCCTTATCAACTCAGTCGTAGAGTTTGTCATAGTTTACACATAATCCTTTCATCTATGCCGCTTTAATACATTTATATCTTTACACTTTTATTACTTACCCGAACCTACCTTGGAGATATTCAGTAAGATAAGGACTTGACGATTCTACGAAGTTCTTATTTGATCAGATAATCCCCTCCACCCTGTTACTGATATCGAGAAGTCAAAACAAATTCTGATTATCTCCAAGTTTTCCTTGAGCTAGCCGAAGGCAACGTTCTATTTTTGGCGCGCGTTCAACAGTCGTGTTCTCGAGTCGTGAGTAAGCCGGGAGGAAATCCCCGAAACGTGATAACGTCGACGGGCTGCCCGAGACCTCAAACTGGTTTATCTACCAGATACACACCGGCCGCCGGGTAGAGAGGTACACAAAGTCCAGTCCTAGTGTGTTGTGTTGGTCACTTCAGTATTGTCTGTGTAGAGGCCTAGCCAGTAAACAGGAAAGGTAAGTCCTAATTGACACGGAAAAAAACTATAACTACTTTCTAATGACATTACCATTGTTGCTGTGTAGAGTTAACTATGATTCTCTACAAACTACACTTGACCTTATACACCAAATTTGAGTTGGTTCCTCTAAAATGTTATTACTTTTTAGATTCCAATGTTTGAAGGTGGACATAATTCGGTTTTTTATTTCAGCAAAGGAAATTTTTAAATCTAACTTTAAGTTATTTAGTTTTTTTGGAGCAATAATGTGTGTTTATTATAAATCGATTTATTTTGTAGCTTATTTAAGTTACATATTTAACAATTTTGTCACATACTCCAACATAATATTTTTTTACCTACTCCAATGCCATAACTTCAATAATAGGCCTATGAATTAGTTATATCTGGGTGCAAATAATGCGGCTTTGAATGACTTAGTAAAATAACATTTATTTTGTTGTTGAACATACATTATACGTTTAATGCTTCGCCTACTATGATGGAAGGAAACTATAGATTGAATGAATCCAAACTATAAGATAAATTTGTAAATTTGACTTTATTATTTATACAAAATTGTTATTCTTTTATGTAATTAAAAATATTGTAGTTTGTCTAAACCTGTTATTTAAGTCTGCCTAAAAATTGGTTCAACGAAGCTGCACAATGTCTCCAAATTGACTTTTTTCTTCTTTTTTTTTATAAATTGAGTCCAAGTAAATATATACTCAATAGAACATGCGCCTGGTCCACAATATTTAAATTTAGGAAAGTCCTATATCTAAACTACCTAAATGCCTACCTTTTTTTTATGTCTACCTTTTATAAGTAGATCTCATTATATAGTTTCAAGGTTAACAATAATAGAATATACATTTTTCAAAGGTTTCATAATTAAAATTAAACATCAATAAAATATTTAACTTATTACGTTATTTTCTTCTTTGATGCTACATAATACATACCATACGGTTTAATCTTGAATAAAATTAATATTTTCAGAATCTTCAAGATGTGGGCTTCAGTTTTTATGGTGTTTTACTTCTTTTATCAAGTTCAGAGTCAAGGCACATGCAAGAGTCCTTATGTGGAACAACGACTATTATCTGATGTGAGTAGATATTCTTATGGTTCAAAATAAAACTTCTCATTAAAACCATCTTTTGTAATTGTGGTATGCTTATCAATATATTCAGTCAAATGTTACTTAAAGCTGGATACTGTTATATTAAATAGATACTTTAATATTCCTGATTGACTTTATTTAGTAGTGGCTAAGCGTGCTATTTTTGTTCAGTAAGTCATTAGTGAAATCTTGTAAACACTTATTATTTTTCAACATCTAATAGTCCATCTAAAACAATGTCTGAGTCATTTCTCAATTCATAGTTAGCCTAAAAACAAAACACTTTTTTCATGTTTTCATAGATTTGTAATTTTATCCTGTAAATTAGACTACATTTCCCAGGAGATCCCTCAGGAGATTTTAGTCCAAAAACTTATTTTTCTCAAGCAATATTTTTGGGGTTTTATAAGGAATGGGTTTAAACTGTGGGCTTTTCAATTTTAATTAGGGTTCTATAAATACGGAACAACAGCACCCAATAAAAATAATTATGGAGAATGTTTGAAGAATGGTTGTATTGTATTTGTTTTGCAAACCATCGAAGCTGGTTTATGCAAACTACATTCGAATATCCTGCTGCAACAAAATTGAAGTTAATGATGAAGCTGTTGGCCTTCGCTTGAATCATTTGCATTAAGACAATCATGTTATGTTTGCTGCAGCACCACAGTAATTACAAAAAAATACTAAACTTCTACCAGAAATAAAACAATTATGATTTGGAAATCTTAAGATAATTTAACTCTTAAAAGTTACATATTATTCAAATGTAAATGGCTATTTACATTTGTTGCTGCTAAAACTACATTTTATTGTTAGACCCTCTTATAAAACTCTATGCTGTGTATTTCAAGAAGCATAACAAATACTACAAAAAATTCAAACTGTTTCAGTCTTAATGAAGTAAAGGCTCACTATTTTTATAAAAATAAATGATGTCATAGCCTGCAACAATGACAGTAACGATAGAAACATAAGAATACATCATGAAATGTTAGGTAATCACAGCAGTTTTTGGCAATTACATTTTTAATTAACTAGATGCACAAACCGGCTGCTGAACTCTTGTAGCACTTTATTGATATATTCAAAATAAGCCAAACCAAAAATTATTTACAATGCTTGATTATAAAAAAATGTTGCTGTCTGAAACTATTTCCAAATAATAAGAATGAATGTTTTCAGGATGTCCGTTATGCCTCACCTTTCTATGTTATTGCCCTGCCCAAGACACCTCAAACACTTGAAATGGATAATGTGTGTTACACATATTTTGAAAATAATGATGGAGGATTCTTCCATATTATGTCAATAACATAGTAAGTACATTACTTCCACTATATATACTTTACATAATTTGAATTAACATGTTTCACCTACAAAAACAGCAGGAATTGTGTTTTATGCAATTTACAGTTTTGCTGCAAAAGAAATTAATTTATTTACAATTGATCTGTTGAACATATAGGTCATATAGGTGATAAAAATATAAGGTATTTCAAGTATTTTACACTATTTTAACTTTTGAATGAACAATATTCTATGAGCATTGAGCAATCCAAGTTCAAGGGTTTCGTAAGGTCAAGGAAACATATTTCCAACTTAATTATAATTGTAACTTTTAAGTTAATTGTAAGTTGCTCAACTCTGAATTATTTATAACCGTACCTAAATAAAATCATATAGGTAAATTTTAGGAATTGTAGTATTTATTAATTTGGTCTAAAACACTTTTATTCCTTAAAACTGAATTTAAATACCGGTACCGGTAGTGACTTAGTGTGATTAAGGCCCAAAAGCAACTGGCTTTATTTCCTGAATTTACCAAAAACAAGGTTTAGCTAGAAACATAACATATTGTATACTGGTATAATATGCACTATGCTAAAATGTAAAGCTCATATTCTGTAAACTCAAAACAAGAAGCACAAACTTAGCATAAGTTACTGAGCTAATTGTTACTGAGAAAGCTAAAAAATCACACAAAACATATTATTTTTAATTGTTGAAATTTGTCATAAAAAATGGTAAAAATTTTTTATTTTTGTAATTTTTCAGTAAAAATGGCTCAAATGCGTACTACGATTTTTCAAAGGGGGACATAACAAATCGTATGGGAATTGCTGAAGGTTAGTATTTTTACTCAGTATATTTGCATGAGGAGATAAAAGATTTAGAGCTAACAAGTTTAAAATATTTACACACTGTTTGGTTTTATCTCCAGTACTTACATTAAGTTTTAAACAAAAAATATATTTTTTATTGAGTTATTCCTTTTTGTTCTTATTTTCTCCTCAATAAATAACAGGATATACAAACCCCATTGCTGCAAATTTTATGGATCAAAAGTTATTGCAAATTTTGTGATTTCCCTCATAAAAACGTTATACTCCTACCGCTAACCCATTATATTTTTTTTCATTATAAAATTAGTTGGGTGTAATTTTAATTTCAGACTAATAAGTGAGAGTATGTTCCAGTTTATTGATACTATCTAAAATTTATTATAAAAAAAATATTAAATGAAATTTTGCCAAAGTGTAGATTTTTGATAAAGTACAGTACTCGCACTATACAAGTGTGGTTTTATAGTTTCGAAAACTGCGAGGTGTTTACAATTTCTTTATCTTTGACTTTTTGATACCCTACAATGAAGTTGACTATATTCTCCAATCAAAAGTTGTTGTGCTACTGAAGCTAAACTGAAAGGGCTACTAATTTAAACAACAGAATATTTCATATCCTAATATGAACTTTTGTTGTGGGCTACCAGTAACCAAAGGGGAAAATTGAATTGCTTAGAGATCAGATTACTGCATTACGGGGTTATTCAACTATGTTTCCTTTAAGTTGAAAAAATTATATGTTTACAGGAAAATCAGGCGAGTGTGTTTACCACGACTATACGTTAAAACCCATCTGCAATGTAACTGTCTTCATCCTCTATCGATGCTACATCCAAGGAAGTAAGTTAATTTACATAAATATATAGTAAAAAAGATAAAGTAACAAACACATTCTGGGTGAAAAAGTAACTTAATGAATAAGTTAAAATGGTATATTTCATCACTAGGGCCTAAAGTGACTCTTTTTGACTCGAGGTCAAGTTTTACGATCGAGGCGAAGCCGTGGTCGGAAAATGAGCGAGGTTTAAAAAGATACTTTTTGCCCGTGTGGTAAGCTATACTTTTCAACATATTGCATCATTAACAAACTAAGCTAGAAAACGAAATAATTTTTATGTAAAGATAACCTCTCAAAACGACTTCCCAGCTTGTTTTCAATTCTGCTAATGCAAATAAGCAGCTGTTTAGTAAGTGATTCAAATATTTCCTCTATTACGATCGTATTATTATACCATCGATATGTCGAGCAATCGATAACAACAGACTAAAACCTTACCTAATAAATCGATCATAAAAAATTTCGATCGATACGATTGCCACAATCGAAATTTACATCTGTTTACAACAGCTGATTTTTACTCCCTAGAGAGTAAAAATGCTACCTCAAAACTGCAACGCATGCATTAAAAACGGCTGTTTTTGCTGCAGTATGACGAAAAACTTATTTAATAACTTTTAAACTTAAAAAGTAACTTTTAACTAGACTAAACTATTCAACGAGCTAAATAGATTCTTTTACACTTAACTAACTGCCTGCCGCAATTCACTTTTACTCTGATCTGATCTTGACAGTAAGTGCCTTTACACTACTAGTCACATGGCTAAGCTGACATTTTTTGTAACATTTGTAGAAGAAAGACATAGTAGCTATAGTTTTCCTTAGACAAAGTCCAGGTAGCTGTCATAGTATACACAGAAGACAAACATCATTTTGTGTTCCCTGGATACTTTGTCAGGTGAAGACAAGGAGAATTAATTTAATTATACAAAATGGTTGCTATCTTTGCTGCTGCCAATGTAAAGGAACATAAAATAAATGAGATAACATTCTCTGAAACTGTTTTAAAGTTTTGTTGTCTTTAATTTGTTTTGATTGAAACAAAATAGCATTTTAATTAACCACCTTTTTCAGAATGCAGCAAGAACATTGATGTTGGAGCCATTCCCGGGGTAGATGTTAGAGTTACCCTGGCAGCTAGTCCCAAAGTGAGTCCTGCGTGTCAGGCTGAGACAGAATCCAGTCTGCGTGATACGTCCGCGTTGGCCGGGGGCGACTACATTCTCCTTCCCCAGAAGCTGACTCCCAACTGCATCACAAAGTACGACAACTTGGTCAGCATTGGCAGCTCGAGGGCACTGGGGCCCAAGGAGGTGTCCAATGATGTAGCCGACAGATTTGCTGCCCCAGCTGACTCAGTCGCCCCTGCCTCCCCGACCAAGCCGTCCTACTCTACTATGAGTAGTTTCTTCAAGAACGGAGTACCTCCGCCTTCAGCTTTCAACCCTTACGGGCATCCCGCCAACGGAGCGAGCGCTCCCTACCCTCCTGCGACACCCAACGGAGCAAGCGCTCCCTACCCTCCTGCGACACCCAACGGATACTCAAGTACCTACTCTTCAGGAGGCAGCTATGCTTACGCTAATTCAGGTGGATACAGCGGATCCCAGCCAACGGCCCCTCAAGGTAAGTTGAGGTGTACTTTACGATTTTTAAATAAAATATTTTATCAGCAGAGAAATGTTTTTAAATCCCTTAAGTATTACAGTAAAACCTCACTAACTTGACAATTTGTAAACCCAGAGGTTGTCGATCGAGTTTGGGCACTGTTAAATTATCCAGAAAACTTAAATGTTTAATGGGTTTTAATAAATGAATACATAACAGACTAATTTTTCAAATAACATATAACATATCAATTTATTACTTGCACGAGTATTTTTTTTAGAAAACCATCTTCAAAAAAATGTCCAATATTCAGGAATTAAAATTTGAAAAGTCCAACACAATAGCAAGACAAAGCCAGCTAGACAAGGGGTGCACCCTTGTCAGCTGTTGACTGTCGAGTTAGAAGGACTGTTGAGTTACTGGTGTTGGGTTAGTAAGATTTTACTGTACTATCAAAGATAAAAAAAAAATATTCTTTCCTCGTAGATCTACTCTTGAAAGTTATTGGAAATTTAATATTTGAAAAATTAGGTAGTTGAAGTTACATTACATGATTCGTGGTTCATATACTTATGGGACTACAGATCTATTTCCTACTTGGGATTGGGATATGTTCAAAGTTGAATCTCTTACAACTTTTTGCCTTAACAATTTTTTTTCCGTAGGTCAGACTCCCGCACCGACATGGAGCAACGCCCAGTTCAGTGGCCAACCAGCCCAGCCCGGGATAGAGACACACTACCATATCTGGCAAACAGCTGGTTCTGCTGCAGCTCTGAAAGCGATAACATCAAAAAACCCCAACATTTACTACCACATCCACAGTTGGGCACCACCACAAGGCTGTTGTAAATGCGCTTAGAGATCTGAACAGACTGAAAGAAACTGCCTGGTTTTGATTTTATTTACAGTAGCATTTGTAAAAAAATTGCTCTAAAAACTTTGGAAGTTAGCGAAGATAATTGGATATTTGGAAGAATTTTGTTAAAATCAAAAATACACTTTGTTTGACTTTTTAAGACTATCTATCTGAATGTCTTATGTGAATAGATTTGTACTATGATTTTGTTTTATATCTTGACCAAGTACCGGTAACTACTAATGTAGCAATTCATTCATTACTTCCAGAAAAAAAATATAATCCCAATTTAATGTAAACACTTGAGTTTATTTAAGTCTAAAAATGTACATACTTTGAATGTGATATCAACAATAGTTTTAATTTATTCCATTATACAGTATTATACTATAATTGTTATTTTTGTTCAGTAATAAATTATTCATTGTATTCCGCCTTTTGATTTTTGTAACACGTGAAAACTCTGTAGGCCTACTTTAAAATTTAACAACAATACAAAGGTCATGTTTATCCTAATAATTGTCCTAATAATTTTACCTAAGTTTTCTTCCCAATTTTCGCTCGGTATAATACTGTACTAAAGCACGGATTGGATAGCATCGGCATCGACAGCATCGGTCATTCTCGGCGTTACTCGTACACATTCGTTTTTCTCCATGACTACTCGGGCAAGTTCGGCAGCTCAGGCATCCACTCCCAAAAAATGTAGTATTGTTAAAATTCTTGATGAAAATTGTCACTGAAGAAAATACGATTTCATTAGTGTAAGCTGTTAAACTCGATTTACGTAAGTTTTTTTCCTACTCCATATTACAAAGTATAATTATAGCAGTTAAGATAGCCAAACCCTTTTACAGGGAAATAAAAAAGACAAAAAATTAATAAGCATGGAGCTTTTGTGTATTGATATAATAGTTTTAATTCCTGAATTCCTGTAATTTTAAGTCTTATAAAACTCATTGAAGAACTCTTTTCTTCCTTAAAAAAGGCTGCAAAAGTGCCATTTACCACTCACAAATTTAATACCTAGATTGCCTTAAAAACTCACTAAAATACATGACATTTTCAACATTTTCCCGGGGGAGAACCCCCGGACCCCCCCCCCCTCTAGGCTGCGGCTAGGGGGTTAGCCAGATCCTGGTAACAGGGCCCACAATTAAATGTGGGGGCCATGCCCCAAGTAGTTCACTATAGTTGCCTCTTTATATACCTTTGCAATTGCAACAAAACAACTGGAATTATTGAGATGGGCCGATAACTGCTGATGGATGCCGGATCAACATTGGGCTTGGGTCCCTAGTCCGTAATGAGCCTGTTTGTTGTTTATCTACTAGACTGGTTTTGAGTTAATCATTCCAAGTTTAGAGTGGGTTCATGCGCATGAGTTCACTATGGGTTCTGTTGGAACTTGGGTTAGACTTGGCGACCCAAACTCCATAAGAAGTTGAATAACTGCTAACTTCGGTGTCTATAACAAGTCTAAACCAAGCCTATTGACTTGTGCCTGTGCCCCTGAGTTTAAACCAGGCTTGGGGGCTTGGGCAATGGAGAATGGACTTGGAACAAGTTCCCAATAAGCCCATTGTGCTGTTGGGGTAGGACTGTTCTTGACACCTTCAGTGAATTGGGAAAAACTCCACTCTGAAAACATGTATGATGCATTAATAGTTTTTGCAAGAGGCATGGCTTCTGATACATATTTCAAAATGGTGATGACAGTCATTCCATGCACATCTGAGCCGTGAGAGTTTTTTAAGTTATTAATAATTTTCATGACTTCATCCAGGGGCCTTTTTCATAATAAAGTACAAACTAATATTATTAGTAAATCAGCTGGGGCCCATTTCATAATAAACTACAAGTTACAAGTTACAACTTTTAACTTGTAATTTCCATTAGATTTGCATTGGGGGATCAGCTGATTTAATAATAAGTTTGTAGTTTATTATGAAATGGGCCGAATGCACTACTAGGGCAATTCTATTAATTTACCTGGTATAGAGCGTGCAAATCGGCAACCGGATACCGGGCGGCCCCATTACATGATGTCCACCGGATGCCTCAGCGCAATCCGGTGTATAAATGTGGATGCGAGGCGGCGAGGGAGCCAGTAATGATGTAACCATAGACAACAGGTGTTCCCTCCTATCTCACTGCTTCCACAATAACTCTCCCCCCTTTATTCTTTACTTATCTCTTCCTCTATCCCCTTTCCCCTATTATTCATTTACAATTTTATACTTTAACTTTTTCACGAGCTTTGCTTTTCCTAATTTTTATGTGAAATCGATTTTTAATATGATTCAAAAAACCACTATGCAGCATAGAACCATGACGTTTGTGAACCATATTGTGGACATTCGTTTATTCCGAGAGTGTTCTGTTAATTGGTATTCATATTTTAACTAAAAATCGGCACCCATGTGAAATCATTATATGTATCCAGCTGATAGCCCAATGCAAATCAAATTGAAATGATTTTCAAATTGCCCAAGCAAATGGAAATTGCAGGTTACAAGTTCTAACTTGTAACTTGTAGTTTATTACGAAATGGTCCCCAGGTGTCACACTGCGCCATAAAATGAAATATAGAAGATACACTCGATCTCTATCTTACAACTAAAGTTTGTCATTAGAAAACGGGTGGTCTCAGGTTCCCCCATGTACTGCTCATACTCCAGGCCAGGCACATAGGTACTCAAAATAAGTTTTCTGTACGTAGCCACAGAGAAGTAAGATAGACAAAGGAAACATGCTTATGGAACAACCGTGCGCTTTTTAGCTCTGCAGTCGGCAATGGTGGGTCGGAAATATACTACCGAGCCCAAACGGCTATTGTTTACAACGGTAGTTGTGCAGCACCGGATCTTTCTATAGCGTGAGCAATAATAGTACATGATGGTGAGGGAGGAGAGGAGCCATTTATGATGGCATAATACCATATACTAATATATTTATATTGTTTTTCGTGCAACATGCATGTATAGCTGTCACGTCCTGTAAATCCACGGCCGCCTTTGGTAAATCATGTATTTTTATTTATCAAAACTATGTTGTTATCGCATTTCATATTATTATATTTCATATTATTATATTTCATATTATTTATTAGTATTTCATATTTGTTATAATATTTAATTATTGATCACACTATAACTATTTCACTTTAGCAGAACCGTTCAGCATTGAATATAAAATAGCATCTTGTGAGGTGAATAATCAATGACTCCAGTATTCTTAATGAGAAATCAATAATCAAATTATATTTTACTCCACGACCTTCTTCCCTGCTGACCCTAGCAGACAGAAAAAATCAAACCTGAAAACATCTGTCTATTGTCTATGTCTACTGTCAAAATGAAAATGAATGATCAAACAACATCAAGATTCACATTCAAGCGAAGAATCAAGAGAACTTTGAAATAATAAGGCGAATTGAAACCAGGAAGGAACAAATCAAGAAACGAATTCAAGAAAAAATATAAGTGAAAGTAGTGTGAACAACTGTGTATATTTGAATGAATTTATGTAGAAATCAACATCTTGTTGAAGTTGATGTTGCTGCTGTGCTGTTTTTGTTAGCAGAACTACCATGTCTTTGAACAGATGGTAATGTGATTTTGTAGCTAACAATCAAGTTTCTACAAAATAGGCGTGCAGTTGTGTTTCTGCCTAATTGGCTATATAAAATTATAAGTATTTTTTCAAAAAACTTCACCTTTATAGGCTAAAAGGTTAGTCCAAGATTTATTTCGTACTTTCTTAGGCTAAAACTAGGCCAGGCCTAAGTTACCTGTAATTTAAAATAAAAGCCACCAAAATAAGTGGCTTTAAATTTCCTATATTTTTAGGGCATTAGCCTAGCTATTTTTTGGCTAAATATCAAAAGTGTGCCTTACTTAATTTTAGATTTATGAATTGAGTTCACGTTATTAATTTTTTAAGTTTTTATGCGTGTCTGTAGAAGTGGTGTGGTGTGGTAGGACAGTTTTGAGCTGGAATGTCTTTTTCCCGGGAAAATACGGGTAACTTACGGCATAGAACCTAAGATATTTTATTGGATAAAATAAATTTATATAAGATATTTAAATAAGATAAATTAGTTTAATACATACGTAAGTATATTGTATAGGATAAAATTGGGCTGCACTATACTTTAGGTCCTACACTCATTCGAATGAAAATATCGATCGATATATCGATTAATCGATTGTTTCATTCGAATGAGTGTAGGACTTAAAGTAAAGTGCAGCCTAAAATTGTTTTCACGTTGTATGATGTTGATTTTATGTAGGTATTGGATATGACTGTTTTAAGCCATAAGTTAACTTAAGTACTTTGTTAAAATTGTGTGACGGCTGATGTCTGTGACTATAATTAACATGTTGACAAGGTTGGGACTTGCGTTCAAAGATGTTAAAACAAGTACTAAGTCTGTTTATAGAAACATTCCTACAATAGAAAAATTCAGACTAACTTATACAGCAAATGAGTTGTTCTCGGCCTAAAAATATTAGGCTAAATCTGCATCACACAGGCCTAAGTTCTAGGCATTATTTAATTTAAAAGTTTTAGCTACAGTAACTTGATTGAAAGAAGAGATAAGCTCTATAACTTACTGTGTAGTGTCACCACTGTAAAATAGAAAGCTCTCTTATAAATTAAAGTATTCTCCAAATACGCTTTGATTCCAGATCATATAATGTCCCCTGGAAAAACTTGTATCGCAAATGATGTTACTAGCAGACTGGGGAATGGTGATGATGGAGCACCACAAAATATGCTGTCTAACCCTCCTTGTAACCTAACATCCAATCAGCTGCCACGCTCTGAATCCCCAGACAGTTCAGCGAGTGTTAGCGGGACTCAAACCCTCAATGACGTACCTGGAGTCAGCTTCAGTCAGAACAACAGTAGCAGCTACTTGCCCAACAGCCACCCTGTGTACAACTGGCAGGCTACCAAGACAACTGTAAGTTGCTTTTTATTTTATATGTTAAAATTTTAATTTTATTTAAACATATTAACTTAATATCAAATGTATTGGGGTGTTGTTAAAGGGGTTGCCTTGTTATCAGAAGGTCGGTTTGATACAAATACAGTCATTAGCTTTTTGATGGCTTGAAACTAGACCCAGCTTTTGTTTTTTAAGGAAATGGTCCTGCCTGGCTGAAGGAATGGCTGGTCTTAGTCATATCAAAACTACGCAGTAATATCACTTCATTCCATAGGCTACTCATCCATCACTCATATCCGTACGTTAGAGCAGTTGGCGGGGGTACTTTTGTGAAAACATTTGTGTATTGCTATTCATTGACCCCTACCCCCAGCACTGCGATTAACCGGTACCCGTCTGTTTTAGTTCGGCTAGCAGCGACCCGTCCACGTGCACGGGTCTAGTGGTGATCGGTTTCGATTGGACACTCTAGTCACCATCAGACCCAATAGGGGAATGACAAGAATCAAAATGGCATTCCTTATATACTATTGGCTACCGGAAGTACCGTCCAACCTTCAAGTGCTAGCGCTAAAACCCAATGACCAAATCCAATATTATTTTCCAAGGCTGACTTAAACAATTTTGGGGTATATTTTAAGAGCACAAATTTTAGCAACAATTATAGAGTTTGTTTTAAATGAGCACAAACATCATAGCAGTTTTTAACTATTCTGCTCTCTTAGGTGAAAGAGAGGTTTGCATTCATGTTTAACAACGAGATATTGAGTGACGTCCACTTTATTGTTGGTCGGGACTTGTCACAGCAGCGTATCCCTGCTCACAAGTTCGTCTTGGCTGTCGGCAGTGCTGTGTTTGACGCTATGTTCAACGGAACGCTGGCAACGCAGTCTGACACTGTCGAACTGCCAGACGTCGAGCCAGCTGCATTTTTGGCATTACTCAAGTGAGTAGTGTACACATAGCTGAGACTTTTGGAGAGTTGTATATTATTTGAGAGAATAAACAAAATTATAAGCTCAATGTTAGCGCCTTTTTGGGCAGTCATTCCAGACATTATTGGGTCAAGATAACTGTGTGCTCAAGCCTATCACAGCAGTGGCTTGCCCTTGGTACTTATGCTGTAGGCTAATGATGTTTTAGTCTTTATCAATATCAACACATCTATGTGTGACCAACTTCAGACCAGAAGGGCAGTTAAATAAAAAAATTATTACTTTTTATAGGTTATTTAAATAGTTTTTGTGCCTTGATCTGTATTTTTTTAGTTATTGATAATTCAAAAACAAGATCAATGAAAAAGCATTGGGTGAGCCGGTACCGTGCTGTACAAGTGAGAAGTGTACTGATGACAAGTAGTGGCAGGTATCAGGATCTGAACCCACGACATAGGTGGGGCTTAGGCCCAAAGTCTGTGACGCCACCGACTCACCAAGAACTGCACACCCTGCAAAGAGTTTTTTTTGTTTTATTTTAGTTCCTACCTAGTACAGAAACTCCTTAAATTCAACACCACTCTGTTTCGTTCTTAATAACAGAGAATCATATACATCACCACTAGAACTTTGTGCATTCACTTTAATACGCAGGTGTATTTAGGGGTTTAATGAATATTTCAAGTGGTTCCACAATTTTACTTCTCCAAAGAAATATTATATACACCTAACCAACCTATAGGGTACCTACATAAGTAATTATATGAGTCATAAAGAAAAAGAATGATTAATGTTGCAGATTTCTTTATTCCGATGAAGTCCAAATCGGTCCAGAAACAGTGATGACAACTTTGTACACAGCCAAGAAATACGCAGTTCCTGCACTGGAACGTCATTGTGTTGATTTCCTCAAGGTAGGGAGATGAAGTGATTCTGCAAGATTACATTGTGGGGGGGGGGGGGGGGGGAGAAGCGCATGAGTTTTAAACCACAATTGTAAGGTCAGACATTAAAATATTTTTTTCAATTAATTGACAGCCTGCTTGCCTTATAGTATATTCATACTGAATAAAAAAGTTAACAATTTATATAGTACTAAGACTGATAGTTTTTATTTTTATTTTCTTTATAAAGTATTCTTTGTCATGCGTTATTGGTTTGATAAATTGTTCTTACTTTGATTTTTGGCAAAGACACAAATTTATTGATTTCATTTAATCAAAATTCTTTTATTGAAAATGGCGTATTATAGTGATCTTCAAATATGTATCGATATAACATAATTTTAAATTATTTTTCAATTCATTTGGCCTACCGCACACGAGAGACTTTTTGTTGGCCGACTATTTAGTCAGAGTCGGGAGTCAAAGTCTGCCCCATTGTGATAAATCTAAACGCGCACACGGGCTGACCGCAGCAAGACAGTCGGCAAACTGTCTGGGCATTTCGGTGCTGACCGATTTTCCCGCCGACTGCTCCCCGACTCAACTATCGTGTCGCATTGATAAAGGCATAGAGACAAATTAATCTGAACGCGCACACTGACGACTAAAAAGTCTGTCAGTCCGACAGACTTTTATTGTGTGTGCGCTCTATGCAAGCAGTGCACGTGTTTTGCGAGACGAAAAATTTGATAAACTTATTGATGAAGTGGAGGCATGGCCCCCATAGGCGTAGTCAGAGAGAAGCAGGGGGCAGCAGTCCCCCCTTAAAAGCCAGGATAAAGTATAAAAAATTTAGATCCAAGAAAAATTGTATTTGTAACAGAAAAGATTAATAAGATAGCTTACAGATTTTGTATGACATTTTTTTACACATGTTTTAAATTTTTCATTAGTTTCTGAGTGATTTCTTCAATTAAATAAAAATTCCAACAGTAGTAATAAACAGACAAATTTCTTGCAATATGTATAAACTAAGAACTTTGTGCAGTATAATATAAACCAATTTTTTTGTGTTTTACGGGACTAACTAATAAATTCTAACTAGTTAGAATTTTTACTAACTTTTCCAATTATGCGGAAGCATCTCAAATATGGGTTATTTATTTCACATGATGAGTGAGGGTTGCATGCGGCCTTGAGAGGTCAGCGCCCTTGTAGACAAACAACAGAGGGGGGGGGGGGGGGGGGAGAGAAAGTAAAGTCCAGTTGCTTTGGAATGAAGTGGGCCTGTGGAAGGGCAGTGACGGCCATTATCAACACCCCAAGCACTGGGGGTGGGAAGGGGAAATGTTTGTTTGGTGATTGATATATCCTCTCAATTATCAAAACATTGTCTTCAGTTGATGTTCATTATCTGACAAGTTTTAAGTAATTTGTTTCTGTTGTCGTCATGTAAAATGTGACAATAGTTGATTAAAACACAAGTACTGTACAAGGGGACCGAGCTTGCTCGAGGTGTTCAAGAGGTAAAAAATAGAGCTTGTAAGCCTACAAATATTTTCAGTCTTACTACTATTAATTAAGTTGAAAAGTCAATTCGTTTTCGGTGGACATCCACTCATCCTCAGTTTACCTTACAAACTAATTAATGTAGACGAGCAATTTATAAAATGTCTACAATAAGCTTCAATAAAACTCATGTTACATAACACCTGTTATCTGTTGACCGTTATTGCATTAAGTCACTGGGATCGCGGAACGTCGCAACTATAACTACGGGATGGTGTAATAACGCATAGATTCGTTCGGCGCATAGTCGAAAACTACAAAACTTCCTTGGCCTTTCCATTAGATTTTAATTTCAATATCAGTGTATAATGTTTTGCGGTAAAACACTTGTTTTTTAACAGAGTTGTAATCATCCCTTTGGTTAGTAATACATCATACAATACAAATGTATTATATAAGCAATTCTCAATAGCATTGCAATTGGAGGAAATCGTAGGAGCAGTTTTTTTTAAATCACTGTGCGCAAACTGTACTCATATTATAGTATAGATTATGAACAAACAATGAAACAATATTAACCTACACTAACCCTCTCAATTTTAAATATCTAATTATTCTTTGAATTCTCTATCTATTCTTTATACTGAAGTGGTTATTTAAGTTGTACTCTATTCCATCGGGAAGAATATAAAAAAAAATATAACTCCACGAAGAAACTTGAGATATTTTTATTTTAGTTCAGTGCCCCATGAGTAATGCAAGGGGTATCAGAAAAACAAACAATTTAAACACCTTGGCTCTGATAACAGTAAGTTATAAATATACCAGCCATAAATGCTTTATGTTTCCGCGTTCTGCGTTAGAATGCAGGGCGAAGCCCTACTCACTATGTTAATATGTAATGAATAATTTGGTTAGTGTTAAATATTTGAATTTAAAATGTTGATGTTTTTTTAAGTTCTATCTGGTGTTTATAGTTGATTATAGACTTTTTGATGTATCAAAATAATTTTAAGTTTTATGACCATAATTGTAGCGACGTGTATATTTGCCCTACGCTCACTAAGGAATGCATTTATCCGTATATATACGTCTAACGCTTGTAAATTTTGTTTAGGAAAACTTTTTTTAATAAACTGTTAAAAAGGTGGAAAAAAAGTCATGATACGAACAATATGACATCTTTATTATTTAAAGACAAAACTGACTTATCTAATCATAGGTAATAGAATAAAAATATTGATTCCAATCATTCAATCTAAATATAATTTTCAATAAACAATACAACACATCCTAAAGCACTGAATATTCCACTAATCTTATCTTACTAGATTAACTTAACTCAAGAACACGTAAACACTAAAGTTTGTCTGCACAAAACAATAACATGAGCATGACTCAGCAACTGGTTTTGTAAACAACAGATGTTACGAGATCAGTGATGCCAACCCATCAATCAGAAATTAACCATAAAAATCAAAACATTTATTGCAGCAATAATAGGCCTATTGATTAATGTCCTAAAGTAACCTTTGACGGGCAAGAAACAATTTAAAATACATAAATGACCTTAACATGTTTGACTTATGCTTGTGACCTTCAGATTGAGTTGCGTACATATATGTCCAACGCTTGCAACTGAAGAGCTTCATTGACAAATATATACTCCAACGCTAGGGAAGGGTTTATCTAAATCAACAACAATCCCAGCTGTACAAAATGAAAGACACTCTAAAATATGTTTATGAAGTAATACCATGGATAAAACATACTCCCTTAGTAGATTTCTTATGTTGAAGGAACAGCTGAAGACAATTTTATTGTTAATTCTGTATGGTGTACTGCAGAGGTCGTGTTTTGGGTTCAAAATAGAGCATAGCAGAGTGTGCTACTTTCAAAATTATGTTTTTCTCCCTTAGTTTTTGGTTCTATGGGATTTTATGTGACATAAGAAATTTACAATAAGTTGTCCTTAAAATTACGAGTAATTTACATCAGCGCTCTCTTCTTGTGACTCTATTCAACTAATAGTTAGTCATAAGTTTTTATTCTAAAAACAGCTTTAACCTTTAGATAAAAATGGAATATCTAGTTTTATCCATAGTCAAAGGTAATGTCAAGTGTTTTATTTGCTAACGTCATCTGTTTTGGGTTTTAGTCTAACCTGGGCCCTGACAATGCCTTCATGCTGCTCACCCAAGCACGTTTGTTTGACGAGCCCCAGCTAGCAGCTCTCTGTCTAGACACTATAGACAAGAACACGGCCGAAGCTTTGGCGGCTGACGGATTTACAGATGTTGATTTGGACACGTTACGATGTGTCTTGGAGCGTGACACCTTACGTATACGAGAGGCCAAACTGTTCCAAGCAGTAGTTAGGTTAGTGATTTTCAAAGATTGGCTTTAGTTTAAGCACATTATAGGCCTTCATAAATTGGTAGCATTGAAAGTGCTTACAGATAATTCAGTGGTAAACAATTTTTTAGAATTTTATTTGCTTCCAAGTTTTTTCTTCATTTATTTAATAGTGCTTACTCGGTGATAAGGGTATTATCAGTTACGTATCACATTGAAATATGAGATATTTTTTGTGGAATTTTCAATCAGACCATTTTGAGAAATATAACAAATGAAATTAATTTGTCAAGTGCTAATCCATCCGAACATATATCTACTCTTATTCTAGTTGATTAATTGAAGCAATGTTTTTGCTTCTAAGTTATAATTAGTCTCTCTCTACATAGTATTTGAATTTTGAAAACATAATAGACAATTTCCAAGTATAGATAACAAAGTCCGATGTTTATGCTAATTACATATTGGTACAGGTGGGGTATAGCAGAGTGTGGACGACAAGAGCTGTCAGTCACTCCCCAGAACCAGAGGTCTGTCCTGGGTGACAGTCTAGGACTCATCAGGTTCCCGCTCATGTCTGTGGAGGAATTTGCTTGCGGCGCGGCTCAGTCGGGTATCCTCACTGACCGCGAGGTTGTCTCCCTCTTCCTATACTTTACTGTCAACCCGAAGCCCAGCGTCAACTTTACAGACACCCCTCGCTGCTCGATGACTGGCAAAGAACAGAGTGTCAACCGGTAAATTAAAATGTTCTACAATGTTGTGTTGTGCCATTATTTTGCAATTTTTTTTAAGTTCCTTCTTAGGATGATAAATTTGAAACATAAATTTAACTTAAAACATAAACATAGCTTGACTCTCCATTTTAAAACTCCATTTTGACAGGACGTTTGGACGTTAACACAGTAAACCTTTTTTAGTCAACTCTGATGATTGAGGTCAATGCATCATGGAATTATATGTTCACATTATTTTCTTTGTGGGTTCACATTTTAGCACTAAATTGTGAAATCCACACAAGTATCTTATCAGTCTTTGATTGTGATTTTTGTTCAGGGTTATAGACTTTTTTGTAGTAATTCTCCTAAAATGTTGGCTTTGGCACTGTATTTGTTATTTCCACATTTTTTGTACTTTCAGGTTCCAGCAGATCGAGAGCCGTTGGGGATACAGTGGCACCAGTGATAGGATAAGGTATGATTACAAAATTACTTCATTAATTATTTTATCTCAACCAAAAAGCCAATTTGGTCAATATTTGTTGCATACAAAGTTAGAATTATTCTCTTTCGGAGGAGGATAATGCTTATTGTAATGTAGTCATAAAGCTTAACATGGTATCTTTGAAGGAGAAAGGGCCCTGAACCCTAAGTAAATTAAGATTGAAAAAAAACTTACACGTCTGCCTTCCCAGACATATAATAGTTTCATAAAGATTCATGGCGATTATAAAATTCCAGCCTAAAGAGCTGTCGTGCATTCTTTTTATCAATCTCCTTCTGTTCTGCTTCTGTTTTCTCAGTCACAGAATGCTTAGAAGGAATGACTTGTAATTATTGTACGCTTTTGTGTCCGTAGTTATAGTCTTGGACTCTAGATTCTTCATAGATTAAAAGTCTTGAGCTCTGCAGTACCGTTCAATAATACCTACCTGAAAGTTTAATAACATTTTTAATTTTGCAGGTTTATAGCAGATCGAAGGATTTTTGTCGTGGGATTCGGACTGTATGGATCCATTCATGGGCCAACTGATTACGATGTTACATTGCAGGTAAGGTCATGATTTTCCAGATATTCTTACATAGTAAAATACAGTGGAACTTGGATAATTCGAACCTCAAGGGACCAGCTAAAAACTTCGAATTATCCAAAAATTCGAATTAAATAAGTTCTTATAACCAGGGCCGTAAACAATAAAAACACGTTTTAAATTCAAACTATTAACTTTATTGATACTATTTGAACATTAATTTATTGAATAATGCCTATTACAGTAATAGTATACAATAAAAATAACTTGCAATCGCTCAAACGACAACGAAATTATGTACAAAACTAAAATTAACTAACCTTAAAATGTCCTCAGCAATAGCTGAACTGCACGCAAACTTCACACGATTACCAATAGTCCAAAGCAAAATATTAAGCAAAATAGGCCCTATACAGGACAACAGGACAGAAATAGAAAAATATCGGCCAAAGAGAACTAAAAGTTTGGAGACCGTATTGACTGATTGTTAAACAAAAAACATATCAAATCTAATTTATTGTTTTACAAAAAAAGAAGAGATTTTGGCTTGTTTCTTTGAGTTTAATCTCTCGGCCATGATAAATGATTCTAAAACATCTAATGATTTAAACTGTACATCACCGACATCATTTCTGCTCTCCACAAATCGCCGAATTTCTCTCAGGTAGGTCATGGCGTCGGCTGCATTCGGTACTGGCGTTTCTTCTTCATCGGCCGGTGACCCGACGATCTCGTCCCCCGATCCATCGTCATTTTGTTCCTCGGTGTCGAGGACTTCTGCTACGATGTCGGCGTCAGTTAATTCACCGCACACAGCGACATTTTCGTCTACATTAAGAAAGTCCTCGTACAAGATGGTTTGATTGGGTGCCACATCCTCCCAGCCGTCGATTGGTAGAGTTTCGTCCGTTACAGTTTCTTCGGCGCTTTCTTCGTCGGTTTTAACAAAACCTGACTTTTTGAAGCAGTTTTTTATTGTTTCCGGCTTCACTTTGTCCCACGCTTGTTTGCACATTCGCGATGCTTCTAAAATGTCCAGCTTTATTTTGAGGGCGTTTCCTTCCCCGGACAGGATATTCTCGACCAACAAACCCCTGTAAAAGTGTTTCAAGTTTTTTATGATCCCTTGATCCATGGGCTGGACAACAGAGGTCATGTTGGCTGGGAAAAAAACCACTTTGACATTTTCCATGACAGGTATGGTGTTGTGTGCCGTGCAATTGTCAATGAAAAGGAGAACCTGTCGATTTTCTTTAACAAACCGTTTGTCCAACTTCATTAGCCACTTCGCAAAAAGGTCACTTGTCATCCAAGCCTTAGAACTGCTTACATATTCTACTGGCTTAGACTTGACATTTTTAAAGCAACGAGGATTGGCCGATTTTCCAATCATCAACAAAGGCAGCTTTTGCGAACCATCCATATTAGCACCAACCAATAGCGTGATTCTCTCCTTGCTTAATTTCCCCCCGTGGCACTTTTCGTCCTTAAATGCAAGTGTTTTATCGGGCGTGCATTTGAAAAAAAGACCGGTTTCGTCAACGTTAAAAATATTTCTCGGGTCTCTGTCCTGGATCATCTCTTCCAGATCGTTCTTCCACTGATTAGCTTCCTGCAGGTTCACCGCCCCACTTTCACCACACACTGCCTTAAACAAAATTTTATTGCGCTCCTTAAAACCATCCAGCCACCCAGTGCTAGCTTTAAAGTTTTGCTTCCCTAATTCTTTAGCAAATTGCTCAGCCTTGATTCTAATCAAAGGACCGCTCACAGGAACTTTCTTGTCTCTGGTCTGCTTGAACCATTTAAGCACACAATTGTCGACATCCGGATTTCCTGGCTCTCGCGATCGTTTCCTGTCTTTATCAAATTCCTCTGCACTGCTGAGAATTTTATGTTTATTTTTTAAGTAAGTTGATAAGGTGTTGGGTGGAATTCCAAAGTCTTTCGCGATTTCAGATTTTTTCTTGACTCCTTTTTCCACTTCTTTGATCACAGCGACTTTTTCAGCTAATGTCAAAGTTTTATAAGACCCTGGTTTTTTCGATGAGGTTGATGCCATGATCACTACACAGTTACACTCACTAAAAGTTAATGTATACAGTAGTGCAGTACGGTACGTTAAAACTACAGTACTGTACACGTAATCACTTGAAACTAAAAGTCTAAGACAACAGCAAAACTACGTTAGGTAACGGCCTTCACGCAAACCGATACAGACCACGCACAATGCGACACTGAAAAGAGGTCAGTGGTGGTGGGTGGGAGAGGAGAAAGGGGAAGGGAGTGTAGGGTACAATGACCTGTAGGGCGGTGGCGGGAGGGGAGGTATGAGTCATCAGACTAAACGCAGGCGCGCGAGGGCTGGCACTTGTTCTAACGCAAACATTTCGTCAAATGTGGCTTGGAATATGTTTTTTATTTATTATTTTTGAATATATTTAGAGTAATAATTTAATGATTTGGCACTTAAAAATTCGAATTATCCAAAATAAAATTCGAATTATCCACGTTATTTTAGCATTGTTTTAATACAAAATGCTAGGGACCACGGGAAAAATTCGAATTAAAGAAGATTTCGAATTAAAGAAGTTCGAATTATCCAGGTTCCACTGTATTTGATATTTCGTGTTTGCCTTTCCAGTTTCAGTAAATCATTGAAATCAGTAAATAATGTATTAAAAAATCACCCAAAACTCTACACCTTGTTGTTTTTAAAGTTGCCTGGTTATCCTGAAAAATTCAGTTAGTATTTTTAAGGCAGCTCCAGACATGCTCCATTTGCCAAGCACGGAACAGTGACTCGCCGAATCACGAGTAGTGTGGATAGGTGTTTGTCTATTTAGCGAGCAGCAAACATTTCTGTTTCGGTTTTCCCGTTCATTGTCAGTATTTTTGCACACATCAAAGTAAACGAATACTTGCTATTCCCGAAACTAACGAAAAACAAACAGTTGCTCAGAAAACAACACATATGTTTAGACTTTTACTCGTTAATCGGCGAATAGCAAGACAACTAGATCGCCAAACGTCAAATATTTCGTGCTTAGCGACCGGCACATGTCTGGAGCTGCCTTTATGGTTTAAAACTGAACTCAGCTGTCCTTGATCATTGGGCTTTTAAAAACGATTTTGGCTAAAGAATCAGCTGATCTAAGCAAGTTACAAAGCCACACAGATTATTATTATTATAACCACTAGCAGAGTACCCGTCCTTCGTTCAAACTAACACACAAACTTTCACATTTATAATATTACATTATAACCATTATCAATAATTAAATGGGGAAAGCCACTTATGGATCATCTTACGTATCTACACCTGCCTTGTATTCATATTCAGCTTAGAATATGTACCTAGGACCTAGGGTGTACATCTGTCTTGAAATAATGATAGTGATATCTGAAAAATTCAAAAGTAAATGAAGTTTAATTTCAGGAGATGTTTTGCAACTAATTAATTCTAACACAAAATATAGACTTTGTTATGTTTTATTCCTACATTTCTGGTGACGAAGTACCTTTGTCACGTAGGTATTGAAGATACAGTTTCACATTAAATATCTCCTATACAATCTAATATGTTTGCGATGTTCTTTGCGTTGACTTACTTTTTAACTATACCCACATTAATATTTTGTTCATTATTTTTACCTAATCAATTGATTCAGTTGGGATATCATGGTGGTGCCAACTTCCAGTTAGATTTTTTAACAATTTACACTTTTTAAGTAAAAGATTTTTACAATTTTATGTGATGTGATGGTTTTTTGGTGGACTGGACTTGAGAGGGACAGTTTTGATCCCCAACATAAATTTTTTTTATATTGCAAGATTGAACCGGTTTCCATTAAAAGGTGTAATGATAAAAAAATGTGACTGGCATTGATTTGTGTCACTAAATTGATTTGATTTGTAACTGAAAGAAAGATTATAATTATAAAACCAATACATTCTCCCTGTTTAGGTGATTCACACGGCTTCAGGCAACATTTGCGGCTCGAACAGCACAAGCTTCAGCTGTGATGGAACCAGTTACACGTTCAGAGTCATGTTCAAGGAACCGGTTGAGATCTTGCCCAATACAAGCTACACAGCATCTGCCACACTCAAGGTAGTGCCTAGCTCGTTAGCGTTTGTTGGATATTACAAAATATTGGAATTTAAAACTTGTTATTTTAAGTACGGTATATCGGGTTTAAGGAATTTGTGGTGGATAGGTTGGACAGCTTTCCATAATTTTTCTCCATAACCTTTAATTAATGTTCAACATACAAAGATCCAGTCCAGTTTTTTTTTTTTTACTGTAGGTAATACAAATTGGGTATTTTCATGTTTTGAGGCTACAAGAAAAATCAAATTATGAAAAATTAAAAAACAACCCATAACATTTTGTTTTTATGACCCAATCCTGCTGTTTTGTGAACTCATTCAAGATTATCCTGTTCTACAAATTCTTGCTAAACTTAATCAAAATCGGACCAAAACTACTTGAGTTATCGAGTTAATGGATACACCCACATTTGCATTTATAAAAATTCTAGGAATAGTGTTTCTGGCATCTGGGAGCATCATAATAAAAAGTAAATTAGTCTCAAGTTTGAGTCTTACTGTTCACCTATAGTAATACCTTCTTCCCTTTAGAGGAAATTCTCAAAAATAATACTTTATTACTATAACACATTCTGTGAGTGGCTCAATGAACTATACTTACTTTCTGCCGTGGCTCCACAAATCTCAGTTGATTCTTATCCTCGTGTTCCAGCCTCTTCCACCCTTCTCTGTCAATGAACTATATTCTTTTTAAATCAAGAATGTGCTGTAGCTAGTTGTCCATATAGGTGGGATTTTGACTTCAGTAACCAAAAGTCAATAACGGTGGGATTATAATGAATGTTTTTGTAACGTACATGAACATTGAAATGTTTTGAATCGTGTTATATTTTGGATATCAATTTCCAGGGACCAGACTCACACTATGGTACCAGAGGTCAACGCAAGGTCGTGGTAGATTGTCCCAGTGGTGGTAAGGTGACGTTCCAGTTCTCCTACGCAGCTGGCAACAACAACGGCACTTCAGTAGAGGATGGGCAGATTCCTGAGATTCTCTTCTACACTTAAATTATTTAACAGGTGAGGAGTAAATCAAACATCTGCTGTAGTTGTGATACAAACATAATCCTGCTATGATAGCAATTGGTGTAACATTATTAATTCTTTTTTTGATTTCTCCATAAAAACATTAATTTTTTTTATATATCTAATAGAATATGGATAACTGATCGTGTCTGCCTCTTTGATTGTTCATATGTTCCAAAGAACCAGTTTTGTTTTTAGCAAATTTCCCATAGAGGGAATAAGCTACTACCGAAGGTCTCACAGTATGATCTAGACCCTGGACCATTACTTTTTTTTACATTGATTTCCCCACACATAAAAACACCATTTGTTTAAATTCATAAGTATCATATCTTATCTTATCTAACAGGAGCAGGCCGAGACCATAAAAAGCTCTTAATCCGAAAAGTTGAATTATTGCGCACCCCATACAGTTGTTTTATTGATTGATAGACCCTACAAATTCAGGCATCCGATGAAAGCCTGTAGTCTTCCAATTAATTCCTCCTCGTGTGTCTACCTCTAACCAAATTGCCAAGAGTTATCCTTCTAGCATCAGAGAGCTTTTCACAATCAAAGAGCAGGTGATCAGCTGTCTCCTCTGACCTACCGCAGTGCCTACAGATTGGTTCACCATCAAACAAGCCCATCCGTTGTAAATGTTTCCTGAATTACCCATGGCCAGTTATCCCACAGTGTTTCCCATTTCGTTTGATATTTGGATTTAACCTAACCTAAAAACGTGTTGTACATTGTTTGAAAAAACTAATTATTTGTATGATTTATAGTAACTGTGGGAAAAAATATAATGTGTAACACGAGTGCAAACTACCTTTGCTGCACTCGAAAAGCTTTCTATACTCACCTATGGCTCGTGCGTAAACATTTCTCGTGTGTGCAGTCACTTCGCCCCTAGTTTAACTATTTCCTTTTTATTTTTCCATGATACATAACAGTTTGCACTTTCTTTACAAACCATTTTGTGGAGCTTAAAAAAATTGTTTAGTTTTATTGAAGCCTATAATTGCGCCAAATGGTTATGGAGAAAACTTGAAAAACTGTAAATTTTAAATTTAAAATTCACACATTTAGAATAAGAAAACTGTTGTAGTTAGATTTTTATGGGTATATTTTGATTGATTTTTATGGGTATATTTTGATTACATTTGGAAAAATTCATCTTTTTCATACCAAGTTTTTTTACTAAAAATGTACTGGTACTTTTTTACACTCTTTGTAGCAGCAACCCTAAATCCGTTTTTTTATAGGGAATAAATTTGACATGTACAAGGAAATATTTTAGTGAAAATAAAATCAGGCAAATGGAAATTCGCTTAGTCTGCCAGTTTGCTGTGGAGGGGGTGTTGTTGTTTATTGTTATTTTTTTTCAGTCATAGTAGACTTCCAAATCTTGGTCTTCGGTAGATGATTAAATCATTCAATGGACAAAAAATACAGCAAAAAAATAAGGCTCGTTTCACGTATACCCGTCATGCCGTCAACTCGACGGGTGCACTGTTCACCTTTCAAATTCTCTTTATTCATTTGCAGTTCAAGTTACTATACAATAAGTAGCGTCAAATAAATATGCCGACACCCGCAGTTGTACCCTAGCTTGTTAAACTTGTGTATCGTACTTGTAGGGATAGAAATGGAACGTAATAGAGAGCAATTGCAATGTTAATTTTGTACAGAGGGCTGAAAAGAAGTGGGAAGAATCAAGGGCACCACCCTTTAAACGTGAAAAGAAACTAAAGAAGGAAATGTGGAACAGAATTTTTTTTAAGTTTTTGGTGTTATCTTGCTCCTTAGCTAAAGTGAATCTTTTTCAAATGTAACATACAAGTAGATGTTTATTGAGGTAAATAGTAAATTGTTAACTTACTAAATATCAATTTTGACTTTTCAGTGGATGGGACTCAGAAGACTGTGATCTGAAGATTGTGTCAGTTTAAAATGGCCTACACAATTTTGGTTTAGGTAATGATAAAAATATATCAATACTTATTTTTGTTCAATGTTTCGTCAAAAATGAATACAAGACAAGTGTTATGACTGACTATTTAATGTTAGATGATTATTTTTTAGAATACTCTGAGTGTAGGGGTTGCACAGAAGCTTGTTAGCTTTATAAAGAAGACAAGGTTTATTTGGTCAGTAATCATAATGATTTCTTTATTATTTAAAAACAGAATTAATAAGTTTACGTTTGATTATATACAGGGTTAGTAACTATTTGTCTAACTCGTGATATTTTTAACTATCAAACATATAATACTCAATTTGACTGCGACAAAACAATTTTTTAATGCTGGCATAGCCATAAATAACTTATATAGGGCCTACAATATAATAATCATTGTGTGATTTATTCTTAGGCTGTATACCTACATTAAATTAAATTAATTAGTTGAACATTTCAAGGTTCTTTCTAAGCAATTGCAGCTTGTTGTACATGTTGGATCGTAAGTATTTAGCTCTTACAAATGAGTATTCCTATAAAATACCAGTAACAAGATCAAGATGGCTCTGAAATTAACTATCATCTAAAGTGTATATGCACGTCAAATGTTAAGATACTAAAACTGTTGAACAGAAGTTTATCTTAATAATTTTAGCTTTTTTACTTGGTTCTAAAGCTCAAAGGTAAATAAATGTCTGTAAAGCATAACCAAAAATGGTGCTGTGATCAGGAAGAAGTACCGAAATATCTGACCACTCTTAAATTTGTGTTTTGGTTTTTGAAACCATTCAAGTGTCATCTATCGTCCAACAAGCTTGATTGAAAAAGAATTTAGTTTCTGCATTTCAGGACACTAGTTGTCCCTTAAACGCTTAAACCTTGCTAAGAGATAAAATGTTGAAAATGGATTATACAATTGAAGAGCTAATTCAGTACGCTAATCTCTGTGATTATTTAACAATATGTAAGTGTAATGTATAACTGTTTACTGTTTAAGTGCAAATGATGAAACATAATTCACAACTCCTTTACAGAAGCAACAAATAAACTAAAAAAACTACCCATACAAAATTCTGTAGTGGTTTTGGTTCAGTTTAGTGAAGAGACTGATGTGTTTTTGATTCAGAGCACATCGGACAGCATTTGCTAATGTCAGTGAAACACAACTAATTAGGGTCAGTTAACACGTTCAGTGCTGACTACGACCACGATCAGCCTACATCAATTGATGTAGTTGCGCAACCCCCACTACATTAGTTCAGTATGGCCCAGCGCACACGGTGTGACTGTTTTACAGCTTTCGTTGCAAACCAGTTGCGCGTGCAACTGTTTTGTGACATCGGCAATGTATTTCAGTGGGGAGGCGCACACGACGCAACTGGTTGTATGCAATTTCAAAAAAAGTTTGAAACCAGTCACATATAACTGTGGGCCCGATGTTGCAGTTGCGTTGCAGACTTCAGTTGCACGAGACCACAGGGTGTTTTTGTGGTGTTTGGTGGTATTTTGGTGGAATTTTGACGGCCGTATGGTGTTTTTAGTGTTTATAATTTCCCATCCGAATAGCTCTAGCTGCTACAAACAGCCTAGTACTAACATTCTTGCTCAAATAAGAGTGAACCCAATGTTCTCTCAGTACCCTTCTCTGTCTTCGGTATTGATAATAGCTAATAACGTCTTCTTCGTCTGAGTCTGACGTAGTAAGCGCACTTAAGACCTTAAAACAACGTAACTGCACTAAATTTGCACTCCACTGATTGCACAACAGACGCAACTGTAGTTGTAAAACAGTCACACCGTGTGTGGACAGAAGTTTTGTTTCAGTTGCAAACTGGTTCCAGACGCAACTGGTTTGCAACAGTTGTAAAACAGTCACACCGTGTGCGCTGGGCCTATGAGCTCAACCATTGCCGGGGAACATTAAAATCGTTGCTAGCTTTGCCGCTATGGTTTGCATAAACTTTTTCAATGGACTAAAATACCCTGAAACCTACGGAGTTTGTATTTGGTTGTCTGATCTCACATTTTTTTATAGTTCGCCATGATTTTTTTAATGAAAAAATATAGAATGAAGAAAAGTTTAAATAATATGTCTGTAGTTGTTATACTCATTTTTAAGTGTTTCAGTGTTTCAGTAGATGCATTGATGTTTTTGTTTTGCGCTTGTTGTATCTGACCACCATTGTTAAAGACACTAGTTTGTGTTTGAAAGAATGAATTTATTGAAATGGTCAAGTTTCCGGGTCAAAGCCTAATATAGGGTCTACAAAGATAGTTTCATTCATCATGGTTGTGATTTAGTCAACGGATCTTCATTTGTACATTTTAAGTTCAATATTTAGAATCTCAGAACATTCCTTGAAATGTATACTTGTCTATATCAGTATTTGTCAGACAAATTTTGTTTAGAACAATTCAACATAACTTAGCTTTACTAGATTTTAAGTATGATGCTTTTGACTGATGTGTGTTGTACCAAAATAAACTTAATTTGTGTAAAAAAATTGATGGCTTCAATTTAAAATCCTGTACTTGTACTTGGTTGAAACTATTAAGAATGGAATTTACTCCATGAAGCAGAAGGTCTATTGAGTAGTCAGTGATTTCTGTATTAACATCCCTGTACAATTGAATGCTCTTCACAACAGAAATGAGACAGGGTTTTATGGCTAAGTGCTATGTGAATATAGAAATGTGGTTCGGATTCCACTATAAACTGTAGGTCCCTTAGTTGCCATTAGCTGTATGGGCTATTAATTAACAGCTGTGTCTAAAGAACGTCGGCCTTAGTCACTAACAAGACTACATCTCGCCACTCATCTCCATTCATACTTGGCTTAAAATACCTTCTATGTATGGTCGCCATTTCATAAAAAAGTAAAGTATTAAAAAGTATGTGAAGGAGATTTATTGTACCCTATTTTTACTTTCTCCCCCTATATTGGAGAAAGTATTATTATGTATATGTACAGGTAAATCAATAACACGTAAGATGCTGATCAAGAAGTTATTGAGCGGAGCGAAGCTATTATACTACACTCCTGCTTTTGTTTTACTAATACTCCTCTGTAGTAACTAACCATGGAAAGGTATGAATCTGAAATGGTACAAATTGGACCACAGTGCTTTTCCCTACGTGAATTTAAAATTTTTAGAAATTTAAAATGAGCCTTATGGGTTAATTGGTTGCCTTGAAATTATTTGCGAGATAACAATAAAAACGTAAACAAGAGTCTCAAAATATGTCAGTCAACGAATCATCATAGCAAATTACAAAACTGTACAGAGAAAAATGGAAGAACAATCGGATTAATATCTTTGAGCATGATTTACTACAAAATGAAAAGCCAATAATTAGGGTTGCCGGATTTAGACTTATGCACCATTAATTTTAAATAATCCAAATAGCCATTCCAAATATGTGGAACAAATATAGGCCTACTATTGAGTTTGGATACTGCAAGTAGACTTTCCACTTACGTGAACTAGCACGGCCACCTTTAACTCCAGGCTGCGGCCTGGTAGAACTGGCAACGTCGCAAGTAGTGTTGTTCAGCACGAGGGGGGGAGGCCACCATAAATTTATTTTTCTCCTTGGAAAAATAAATTTAAACTACTAGCTCCTAACTTACACAGGCATCAGCGGTAGCACCAGTAGCCTATATACCATTGACTACACAAACACTTGTGTTTAAGTTTATATAGTCAATGCTATTACTGAATGTGATATTATACAAAATTGTGACAGATCTATGAAAAGGAGAAAACCGTAAGGTTAAAAAACTACTTGCTTGCATGACAAATAAATGGGGAAATGGGAGATTTTGCACACAGACCTAGACATTAATAATGGCTTTAGAAAGTCAGTAAACAACTTTTAGGAGGATATGGCCTATAGTATGTTTTGAGATTTATGAATGCAGTCGACATAGTTAGTTTTTAAAAATGTCTACTTGTTCATGATAAATAAATGGGGAAATGGGAGATTTTGCACACAGACCTAGACGTTAAAATGGCTTTAGAAAGTTCACAAACGGCTTTTAGGAGGATATGGCCGTAGTCTACAGTGTGTTTTGAAATTCATGAATGCAATCGTCATAGTTTATATTTAAAATGTCTACTTGCTCATGACAAACAACAGGTGAAATGGGAGGAGTTTACGGACAATTGGGCACAGTTTTAGGTGTTAAAAATGGATTTAGAAAGTCACCAAACGACTTTGAAAATTCCAAATTTTTCCTGACCCTCCTACTTTATTGGGGGGTGCTCCACACTCCCCAAACCCCCACTAGAACTGCCACTGGTTACAGGAGTAAATAATTTTCAAACAAGCATTTAAAATAGTATTTTTAATTACATATAAAATTACATTATTTATTTATTTGGACATCATTAGTACTTGCTAAAAAAATATGTAACAAATCATTCAGGGTTATTTGATTTGTGACAGCAACATTACCATCTGCACAGGTAATTATAAAACCAGTTTCATTTTACTAAAATATTAAACCAGAGGCAAACCTCTCGTGCAAGAAATTACCATGTAAATTTTTGTATATCTTTCATTACATTCTACAGATGTAACTAACAGTGTAATATTATTTAGCTTACTTATTTAATCTTCAACATAATGAATCAGTTTTACTTGGCTGCCAACAGTTTATATTCAAAATAATTATTTACAGTGCAATATGTCTTTAGTGAATCAAGCTAAACTGAGAAAATACTGTTAATAACTTACACATTTCTTTACTTCACTATGACACATGCAGGCTACAACCTAGTTTTACAAACTAATGACGACTATTTGTACAATTATCAACTAATTTACGAGCAGGTATCCAAAGTGAACACAGCCTAGTATTAGAAGCATAAATTTGAATGACAATTCACTACAGAGTAATTAATTATAGTAACTTTTATTCTCACATTATTTTCAAGGTGAATCAATCAATTTGAAGTTACATTTAGATTTAAGTAAGTTTGACATGTCTGTATGTCACATTTTATCACAACTCATACTCATGAATAAATATTTACTGAACCCGCCCAAAAGAGAATTTTTAGTTAAATAACATTTTTTACCAGTGAACAAAATTCGATCTAATTAAAAATAGTTTTTTAAGGGGATAATTAATTAAAAATCTGTGAAAAAGTACGCCGGGATCAATTGCTGAGAGAAAAATGTTAACATTAAAATGTCATGAAGAACTTTTAACAATCCCAGTTCTCAGACTTGAGTGTATTTCTGTTCATGTTACTATTGAGTCTGTAAACGTAATCACACATGATTATCAATCAGCATTTACAGGTATGAACAAATATTAAGTAGAAAAGACAAATCTCAAACCAAACTGCAAACAATTTTTTAGTTTAAATAATCCACAGCATTCGTTATGATTGTAAATTAATAGGAAAAAATACATTTTCATTAAACATTTAGTTTTATATAACTTACCCTAGAACGATACCACCTTCCGGAGGCTTAATGTGACATAAATCAAAGAGCAGTATGAAAAAAATTCCTTTGTATTTTGTAGAAAACAACTGCACTCCATATCTTTAAACAAAAAATCTTCATTCTGCAAGGACAAAGTTATTTTTACATGGTTGGTTTGGTTTGAGATCTAATCAACTAGAAATCCACACTATTTGACTAAAATTATCTAAGTAAGATATGTAACAAACCACCACGCATAAAAAAATGAAAGACGATAAACAGAAAAACAACAACTTGAATTTCTAAAACACAATATATACATGTGTTAAACACATTCCTTCTTAAAACTAAAATAATATCCACACAGAGAAGTTAAAATAATCAAACCAATAATCTTGAATATTACCGGTATAAAAAGGGGACACACAATAAAATTTATAAAAACCGGGTTTAAAAGTCGTGAGATTCCATAGCCAAACTCGTGTTAAATACTGTCATGAGATTCATAAAATTTTGTCATTTACACCTGAAATCAAGCTTATCTAAGATTCACACTAGGATGTGGAACAGTTAAGCTTTCTTCTTCTGAAAAACCACACCAGGTACTGTGCGGATTGTGGCGACAGTTCTGTCTGGCCCAAGCTCTGCGGAAGTACCAGTTCTTGCGTCTACCAGAGAACCAGTAGCTGGGGCGAGGTTGGGCTCTGCGATCAGCGGCTCTGTCGAACAACCATGAACTGCGGTTGTTAGACCTACGGGACATACGGGATGTTGAAAATGGAACTAGCCAGACTATACCAGATACAAAACCAAGAAGATTATGTGCATTTAAAGGAAGATAGGGACTCTATTCTTTGAGCTAAACAATAATAATATTAAGTACAATCCAGACATCAGATTCCCATGCTGGCTTTGTGGCCAGTTTAAAAATCAAAATAAACATTTTTCAATTGAGCCACCAGCAGAGTGTGGTAATAAAAAGGCACCGATTTCTGTGGAATACGCTAACTTTTCAACCAAGCCAAAACAAATTAAGCTATAAGGTGAAATATTTGAAATTTTTAAAGCTTCATACAGGAATTAGACAAGGTGACTCACTCTCCCCAACATTATTTAATATATAGCCCAGGAAAAATCACTCCAAAAAATAAAGGGCACAAAAATTGGAGTCAAAATTGCAAAAAATGCTCATTCTACTGCATTATGCTCTTTTAAATTTAAAAACAAGAGGTTCTACCCACGAATTCACTGGTGTACAGAAGCCACCATTAAATTAATTTAATCAACTCAACTTCGACTTTATAAAGAGCCCAAGTTCGAGAAATTGTCATCTGAAAGGATGTTAAAAGCAATGAAACCTTACGTCTTAAGGTGGCCGAGGTGGGTACGGTTGTACCTGAACTCGCCGTTCACGACGTCTTTATACTTTATACTTCAGAAGCCTACCATAAAGTCAATTATACAACTAGGCCTATTACTGACATCTGAATCTAGGTACAAAGCTTGTCAAATCTGAATGTTGCTGACTGGTTCAATTCCCATTATTTAAGGAACTGTTAGCCATTTGTCATTCGGCTCCTATGCTTTCTAAGACGTTGGGTCAAGACTAGGATTTGAATGTCCCTTTACAATACCCTTTTAAAAGGGCTGCAAATTACAAAAAGAAAAATAAAGCAGGTGGATTCCACTAATAAAGGTTATAATCCACCAAATGGGATACAGTAGAATCCCCCATATCCGACCATGAAGGTACTGGGCCATGGTTGGAACGGCCAAAAGGTTGGGTATCGGGAGGAGCATAACTTGCTGTCTCCGACCCATCGGTAATCGTCTACCACAACCGCGGTAATTCCCGTGAGCATGTCTTGCAACACCCGCGATCGGTGACAGTGGTGATCGTCTGACCCAATTACGGCAACATCCTTAATCGGCCTTTCGGTTAAACAAACACACTCGGCCTTATCGCCTGAGACAGGAATAAAGTAGATGGTCCGACACTAGGTCGGATGATCCAAGGGGTCGGTTATGCCGAGGTGGGACTGTACTCAAATAGTAAATACTAACTTTGTCAAATTAAAAGCATTTACTCACCATCTCATTTTCGTTCTTGATTCCCCTGCTTTGAAAAACCAGTCTCCTGTTAGATTACTCTTGTTGTCATACATTGTCTCGTCTGCATTGAAAACCCATTGTCTCGGTTGATTGTCTGGTACTACAAACTTGTCTTTTGCTGCATCCCCTGCTTCTTTTTCAGTTCTCATTTCTGTTATATCAATGATTCTAAAATTCTTATTTAAATCATCCCCTATTGTAAGCTCATCCTTGAAAAAGTTCTTGTTATTTTTCTCTCTAAAATCACCCTTAGGATGTTCTCTGTTGTACCGTTTTTTCCATTTCAAGCTCTCGTCGTTCACTTGGCAGTATTTTGCATATAGCGAATCGAACATTTCTTTGGGAACTCTTAATTTGCTGTCAACATAACCTTTTAGCTTTTCATATATGTTAGTCAGTTTATGTTTTCCTTTTTCACAGCTTTCTTTCAAATACTTCCTAATCAGTTCTGGTCCTGAATTCGGAACGGACTTTTCACTTTTCCCATGTGATTCTCTATTTTCATTCTGTTCTTTGTTGGGATTTTGTTTATACGATTCAAATCTTTCAGTATACTTCCTTTTTTCTTCAGAAAATGTTCTTCTGTCTTCATGTTTTCTCGGGTTTCTTCCCTCATAATTTTTGTGTTTTTCATTAAAATGACTCTTTTGGTCATTGTACTCCCACTTTTTATCGTTCTGTTTCTGTTCCTCTTTATTGTATCCAGATTTGTCATTGTAATGCACATTTTCATTTTTGTGCTTTCTTCTTTCATTGTACATGTTTCTTTTACCTCCATTATATTTAGGATTTTCCTCAAAATATTTTTCTCTGGATCCAAACTGCTTTCTTTTGTCATCATGGTATGTTCTTTTGTCCTTTTGGTTCTGTGAATCATAACGTTTCTCTTCAATCTCTTCATTATCAGATATTATGATTGTATCACCATTTTTAGTAAAACTGTCTTCTTTGTTGATGCTTTGGTCATTTCTTTCATTTTCCTTGTTAGGAGAAGAATTTACAAGGCTTTTCTCTTTTAAAAAGGCATCATTATTTTTTATTTCATTACTAACCAAGACATAGTAGTCCTCAATTTCTTTGATTTCTTCACTATGAGAATTGCTGTGTTCTTTCCCTGGGCTGTCCCTGTCAACTTGATATTGAAAGCTATTCAAATTTATATCAATATTAGAAAATTTGTTAAGTGAGCTTTCCTGATGGGGTTTTGTCTCCTCAGGCTGTTTCAAACCTTGAAATTCATGTTTATTCTTTTCATCTTCCTGGCAGTCATAAAACAACCCTTTCAACTGTTCTTGATGGCCTCTTTTTTCAAGTTCGCACCACTGATGTTCAAATCTTCTTTCAAGTTTTCGAACTTTGTTAAGAATATGTGTTGCCACTCTATCAATTGATTTGGTAACACCGTATTCCATTTCTGTAACAATCTGAAATAATTTATGTTTTTGATTCTTCAAGACATTTTGCAATTCAGAATTTTCTGTAACAATGTCGTCTAAATCATGTAATCCGATTTGCAGAGCATCTAAAATTAAAAATACTTGTTTCAGTTTATCTTTTGTTTCAGGGGAACCTGTCAGTTCACCCAAACTGTTTAGAAACTTTCCCATTTGATTGTCATTAAACTTTTGGTTTTGGTGTTGCGCTTTTTCATTATGATGCTTGTAAATCGTTTCATGTTGTTGCTTGTACTTTTCATCAGGTTGTTTGTAAGATCTTTCATTTTTGTTCTTTTCAGATCTTCCAGAAGATTGTTTATACTGTTGTTTCCTATTCGCTTCATAGCTTTGAGACTTTCCTTGAATTTTGCTTCCAGAATTTCTTGTGACATGATCTGTGTGGTGATCGTCAATTACTTCAACAATAACATCTTCTTTTTCAGCCCAAGGGATATTTTTCAATTTTACTCCATCAGAAAGCTTGGGAGTTGTAGGAAAATCTGTAACAGTTAACATAGATCATTGTGTGTTTGTTTTGGAAATAAAAAATATAGTGTTTTTAATTTTAATTTTTTTTTTAACGCCAGTGGCATTTCACGAGAGAAATGTTTTGACAAATTTAAAAACATTTACATTTATTTATTTTCCTTATAAACTTATAAACCCCATCTTTGATGGTTTTTATATAAAGGTAGTGAGATTGAACTAGAGGTTGGTTTTAATTGTGTTTTCAAAATTTCATATTATAGCAATCACTAAACATGCTTGGGTAGCTTTAAAACTACTTTTTACATTAAAATTAATGCAATACCTTGAGCGCCATCTAAAACATGAGAGGGGAGGGGTATAAGTTTTGAAGTCTTACTCACTACCTAGTTTTTTTTTTTTTTTTTCTAACTTAAACTGCTAACTGTTTGAAGATATCAATAAACTGTGATAACTCCATAAAATGATTTAGGCCTACCACACTTTAAGAGCCATTCTCTTTACATGATTCAAATGTGTTACAAACACTATCAAAAATAAATATTCAATGAGCTTGCAGTACCTTTCAAGATTGTCAGTTACCCCCCTAAGGAGGTATCAAAACTTAATACATCAGTCCACAACATGGAGGTTAAATGTTGTGATATTGATGAGCTTACCTCTCAAAAAAGAAGGTGTGTCAACATTTACATCCTCAGTCCAAGCCAATGCATCTGAAAATTAGACTTTCCATTAAATTAACTAAAACTATTACCATGTAGTTCTTTTAAAATATAGCCTACTTGTAGCAAACAAAATTGATGGACAATTTAACACTGCATAGGTAACTTAATAAAACCATGTTTAAGAACGACATACTTTTAAAACAATATAAATGAACTACGTACTTTCGGCAACCATAAAAGCCAAGTTGGAAACGAGCACAGCAGCTGTAGCGTAAATAAGAAACCAGCGAAACGAAGGGTCGAACATTTCCTCCCGAGGAGTTCCTTGGGGAACAACAGGACTCTCGGACTCTGAGATAGCTTCAACTGCAGTTACAGGAGTTAGATGAGTATCCCCTTCCACGTCTGTGTCAGTTACTGGAAACAGAGGACATTTAACTGCATAATCAGCACAGATAGATAATAAGGTAAATATTAGAATTTTAAGACTAGGCTAAATACTGCTTTCATTTGAATCGTAAACAACATGATTAATTTTTATTTACAAAAATTAAAAGGCTTAATTGATAATAATTCAAATTGAATGCAATAAAATCTGTTGAGTAGGCTACACAAATGTGTAAGGTACGACATTTTAGAGGGGATAAAAATGTACTGTGCGTAAACAAACACCAGGACTTACCTATTTGTAACCACAATAGCCTATACCTGGATCAATGTGTTAGCCATAGTTTAGACTATTTGTAAAAGTTTGAGTATGGTCAAATGCACCTCAGCAATGAGTCTCTACTAGTAGGGAATTAATTTTTAAAAAATAAATAATTTTTCAAATAAAAACGTAGCCTACTGGATTCTCTGGACTCTTCCTCAGCATCAATCACTTCCACGCTCTCCCCGTCGCTGCTGGGCAGACTCTCGCCATCGTGACTGGCCACGTCTGCTTGGTCGATGATGTTCCATCCTTCAGACAACTCAGAGTCACTTCCTCCTCCGATACTCTCTGTGCGCTTCCTGACTGGAGGCGCTGGGCTGTAAAAATATCAGAAGATATATTTACATTCTATCTCCAAAAATTCTAAGTAGCCTAAGCGGATAGGCTAATTAAGTTTATGCAAAAAATGATATTTTTTTATATCAGAATCAATTGATATTGAATGTATGAGTAAAATTTTCAGCTATTCTCATCCATACAATACGAGGCACAAAAATAATCTAGTCACACCTCAAATCCGACTTTCAAAATCTTGAAAGACGGTAGCCATTTTTACATCCAACATATTTTCTTCAACAACCTACCCACTTATTTTTGTAAACTCCCTTTAAACCAATTTAAAAGAAAAATTACTGAGTTTTAAAAATCAAAAGCATTCTACACGCAGGAAGAATTGTTAAATAGTGACATATCATGTTTAGATTTTAAATAGGATTTTGTATACAGTACAATATTGATATTAATAATTTATGTATGATCCATTTTTAAGTACTATTGTACAATGCCTATTACAAAATGTTATGTTTAATGGCTGCAATAAATCTTATTGAATCTTAGGCCCGGTTCACACGAGCAACATACCTAGCTGACTAGGCTCTGACTGGGACGGGTGGCGTCGTCCTGTAATCCAGCTACTAGGAGGGACTCACGAATTGTGGATATTTATAGGAATGCACTGTGGATGCGATTCTCCCTGGTGTGGAATAACGTCTGAACGGGTGAGTACTACGACTATCCGCAGTGCTATCCTGATAATTAGACCAATTCGTATATACCAAGGAAAAAATGTGGTTTGGATTCCACTACAATCTGTAGGTATCTTAGTCGCCATTAGCTGTATGGGCTAATTAACAGCTGTGTCTAAGGAATATGTCGGCCTTAGTCACTAACAAGACTACAAGATCGCGCCACTCATCATGTACTCATCTCCATTCATACTTGGCTTAAAATACCTACTTTGTATGGTCGCCATTTCAAAGAAAAGTATTAAGTATAAAGTATAAAGACTAGGTAAGCCCGACTAGGTAGCGTTAACACAGGATACACCGGTTCACACGAGTGACATGTCCACGGACTAGATGAAAATATCGATATTAAAACCACTCGGAGCCATCACTGGGTGCAAATGAGAACAAAGGGAAGAATGCGAGCTGCAGCGCGACTACCCGATCGCTCGTGTGAACGCTCCCATAAGGCTACGTGTACTGCTACGCCGCTAGACTGGGTGACTGGGTAGCTGCCGCGAGTGACTGGGAAGCGGGGCCAGACTATGTTTTGGGACACCAAGCTCGAAGGCGGCTAGCTAGTCGTCGCCCTACGCTCATGTGAACCTCTATCCATTTGATCCTGTGGTCCGCTACCCAGTCGGGCTTACCTAGTCGGCTAGGTATGTCGCTCGTGTGAACCGGGCCTTATATATCATAGAACCTTGCTCTAAATAGATAAGTAATTATAATTACCGTAGGTTATTTATATGTCAATATACAGGGTGATTGATATAAGTGTGCCAGCCGTTTTATTCGAAAACTGTAAGAGATATCAAAAAAAGTTAAATGGTAAGTGCCTTGGATTTTTTATTTAAAAAATTATAGTCAAGTCAAAAAATTTATTTAGCCGCCATTTTTCCAATATGGCCGACAACTTTGATTTTTCTTACGGAATACCCTGTATTTTATGATGTATTCTGGTAGAAAAAGTAATTTTAAGACAATTTTATTCTTGTGATTTTTTTCATAAACCTAACCGTTTTAAAGATAATAATGGTTAAAGTTTTGAAATTTCTGCATGAGAAAGAGTTTCGAAGCAAGCATGCCAGCTGATTTGCTCGAAAACCATTCAAAATTTCACAACTTAAACCATTATTATCTTTGAAACGGTTAGGTTTATGAAAAAAATCACAAGAATAAAATTGTCTTAAAATTACCTTTTCTACCAGAATACATCATAAAATACAGGGTGTTCCATAAGAAAAATCAAAGTTGGCGGCCATATTGGAAAAATGGCGGCTAAAATATTTTTTTTTACTTGACTATAATTTTTTTAATAAAAAATCCAAGGCACTTACCATTTAACTTTTTTTGATATCTCTTATAGTTTTCAAATAAAACGGCTGGCACACTTATATCAATCACCCTGTATACCTCGGATGAATTTTTTGCTGTAGTAAAATATGCTTTAAAGATAAGTTTATTGAATCGTTCAGAAAAAATCTCTGATAAAATAATTAAGAAATTAAAACACCCATCAACAGATCTACATACTGTGTACAATTATACTTCTTTTATCCAAACAAATTCTACTAATCATCATGTTACTAGGTGGATCATACCCAACTAGATGTCCTTGGAGTTAGGTTCTCAACGACTAAGGCCTTCAGTAATGGAGCCTTAACAATATTAATAAATTGCCAAAATCCATCCACCTCGACAAAAAAAAAAACTCCTTAGATAATTTTATTATACTCCTACAGCATATTTCAAAGACAAAGTCTACTACTCACTGAAGGAGTACTTCAATGGCCCTCTCTGATAGGCCTAGGTTGTTGAAGTACGCCTCACAGACTCACAGTAATAATTAGCCTGCGTTTATTCAAATTTGTAAAAAAAGTGTTTTAAACTTACGGTAACTTAAATCAAGTTAGTCAAAAGTAGACAAAAGTCTTAAATTCAAAGGAAAATCTATTAATGTAAGTCATAAAATTTATATTAGGTACCGGTACGGTACACAACAGCAACAGTGGCATGTTACCTTTTCATTAGTAACTCAATTATAACAGTCCAAAAACTGATCCAGTGGCTATCAATTTTTGTCTACTTGTAAACTAGACTAACTTAAGTAATGTAAACATCATTAACTAATGTCCCAATGAAAAATATACGGTATCAGCAATCTGACACGGATACTTTCTCCCGTTAGCTTGTCAACAACCCTTATCATGGCCTTATTTGGAAAAATCACAAAAGTTGCAATATTTTTAAAACCGTAATTTGTACAGAAATAGGGTTTGTTCCATTTTGTTTTAAGTTAAAAGGACTAACTTATAACATACACACAATTTGAATTAAAATTGGTCAAGTTTTGTATCCGATTTTTCTGTAACTAAAATATTAAAAATAAGTTAAAGGTTTTTATGGGGAAAATCATAAAAGTCGTCTTTCCAACTTACAGCAAAGAGGGTTAAGTTATACTGTAACATCTTGTTCAGAGTCAAAAGGAGTAGGCCTATGCACTAAGTTAAATTTTAATAAAAATCAATCAGGCAAATTATAAAATTTTTTTTATTTTTTTGTTATTTTAGGGTTTTATGGAAAAATAACCAACCCTTTTAAGGTAGGTATTAATCTTAAAAATCTATTTTTTATGAAAAAGGCCTGGAGATAGGCTACCTTGGATTTGTTTTACAAACGGATAAGTTAAAGTTAAGTTATAAGGCTAAGTTAGGCTATCCACCTAATAACTTAACTTACTCAAACTCGAAGATTTTGGCAAAAACAATAGGCTCCTATCTATTAAGTACTTAATAGGGGAGGATAAATTAATAAATGTCAACTGGGCTCAGAATTAACTTAAATGATCTTGTTAGGATTGAAGCAGCAACATTCCACTTTGACAACCATTCAATTCAGAGATTTTGTAAAGATAGGCTTACACGACAAATAATTGAATACAGCTGCCCTGTCCATGATTGAATATAGGCTCTACGGTTAATAGCCTTCAATATATTGAAGATTTGTACCCCTGTCGTCCTTAAAAGCATAGCTTGCACAGATAGGCCTTGACCTAGGTTTATCACTTGAACTCATTACAAAGAGGCCTTATGGGTTTATATAGCCTAAGAAGTGGACTTAGGCCTAACTTACTAACACAAAAATATTGCAACAAATACAGTGTTTTCAAAGATATCTTCGTAAGTTAGTTAGTTGATAGCTATGTCGCAAATCAAACTATTTGAACTAAAAACCAAATGGATGAGGTTGGAATATTTGACTTACGTTTCTCCACCATCCATATCGAAAAAGACTATGTGAACAGGTGCAACATTTAACTATTTGGTAGTGGTACCTAAAGACAAATTAATAAATGCAAATGCGATAAGATAAAACACTGAATAGCAAAATGTAACGTTTATCACAAAGCAAACACAGTGGATATAGGTTATTAAAACAACACAACAACCGTGACCAGTTTCGTCTGTTCTGTTGTGATGCGATGTTATTTCATTGATTAGATACAGTCAGCTGGGAGTTGCAGGACTCAAGGTCACGATTTGCCACTCTCTTTGCCACTAACCTGGATTCAAAATCGTGTTCCAATAATCAAGGCATTGTTGTAATTTCTACGGTGGTATAAACATAGATAAAACATACTCCAATTTTACCATTTTATAAACAAAGATTTAGTTGTATGAAATTACTAATGGTAAAGTGAAAGCGCTTGTTGCAACAGTTTTATTAGTAATTAAATATAGAAATAGGTTACTTTTTAGTTTACTTATATTTCTGAAAACTATCAGTAGCAGTAACATTTTATCCTATTTTCCACTATTTTGTATGTTATTTTAATGGTATACCTATAATTGAGGTCTGAAGTTAGCTTAGGCATACCCATTAGCGTATCCACTTATTTATGCCAATCGTTAGTTCTTGTTAGTTCTCGATAGTAGAATAGAATAGAGTACAGTATTTATTTATTTTCTCTTTTCAGATCGGATACGGATACACAGGTTACAATTTATTTCATAATAAATTCACAGTAGTAAAAAGATACAAAACAAATGAACTGAGAAAGAACACTATTACGTCCCGAATATTTTTGTTAAGTTAGTTCTCAAAAAAGTAAAAAGTTATAGCCGATAATAAATGGGTAATCTAGAACTATACATTTTTCATTTTTTGAGAACTAAACGATAAATGGATAAAAGAATTTTTCATTATATAAAGATGCACGCTGGGAATCTTAGATGTTAGAGTTGGCGTAAATACTTTTTATGCCTTACTGGAATCTGGAATAGCCCCACCCACCAGGGCTATTTCGTACAAGGTAACTTTTTTTGATTACCAATTTTTACATGTAAAAAATGCAATAGTTCCAAAATGTTTGTATACAATCAGTAGCCAAATAATTAAATTATATATTGCTTGTGCTGTTTACATTACTTTTACTTCGTAATTTGCAATGTAACTACGAATCTCCCTTATGTGTACGGTATAGCCCCTCTCTCCCCTATCAAAAATATTTAAGTATTGCGACCATTGCAGCTGTCAGCTCCTCTTTAACCGTTTGAAAACGTATAATGTCAACAATCTTAGATAGCTCAGAGTTAAGAGGTTCATAAGTAGAAAATATCAGGTTCGAGACCCGTCTGGGGGAAAAAATATTCTCTAGTCTTTTTTTATTAGTTTTTATGAACTATTTAATTAAAATACTAACCTGATGAATGTGCTTTTCAGACTAAATCTTTATTATTTTGTGTTTTTATGCATGACGTCCTGATGGGATATCCCAGGGATCAGGATTTGGGCGAAACATAGGGATATCCCAGGGGAGTTCCCCAGGAAATATCTTGAGAAAATCTTGAGGACTTTGGGGGATTTTTACAGAGGATAACCCCCATATACCACTGGGATATCCCCATAAGATATTCCAAGGATCTTTTTGTGTTGTGTGGGGTGAAAGTGGATACGCTATATTCACAGACCTCTATAGGCCTAATTGCTAACTATTTGTTTTTTATAATAAAAATGCAAAGTCATAAAGTTTATTGCCGAAGTGGAAATGTTGAGGATATTTAATGTTTCAAAATGTTGCCAAAATTTAATTATGGTATTATAAAAATTGTTGTTTCAGTTTGATTTGTCTCACTCAAGCTCTGTCATAAAAAGAATTTAACAACAGTTATATTTTTGAACATCAAAACAAACGTATAATGATACTTCTCATTGACTTTGAATTCTTCATCAATGAATTAGGCAAGTAAAAATACTTTTCAACAACAAAGTACTACAGTAGGCCTACTTATAGACCTACAGTGGATATTATAATATAGTAAAATGTTTTCTCTTGATAATTTGTATCTAATATTTTGTGCCTACTAATGTGTGTGCTGTACCACAGACTATAGAGTAAACCATTACATATTCTATATGTTAGTCTGAGGCTGTACAGTCAACTGAAAAACTCCAAATTATCTTTACCATTATCTAATTCTATATAAGTTAGTATATGGCTGTACAGTCAACTGAAAAACTCCAAAGTATCTTTACCATTATCTTAAAAATATTCTGTAAGCTTTTTTTGTGCTGGACGTGCAGTATTTTAAAATATATTTTAACACTGATTTGCACTAAAATAGCCCTTTGTTGTTTCTGATTTCCACATACAATAAAGTGTTTTCTTTATCACCCAGCTTAGAGAAGTACAAGAATAATCCTTCAGAATTTGCGTGTTAAACTTTTGGTTGTGGAATAGAGCCAACACAGACCGCTATTTTAAGATTTGCACTGTTAGTTAGATGAATAGAATAGATCTGACGTTCGGGAAGATCAGTGAGTTTTCTGAGATGTTTTGTTTCTGATCTCTCATCTATGTGTACAGATTTAGAGGGAGAAGTCAAGTCCAAGTACATTCTGCACTGGAGCTACCGGAACTACACCTCGCTACCTGAGGAACTACTTCACCATGGTACTCATGTGGAGGAAATTTATCTACGAGAAAATCACATACTATCAATGGTGAGTCTATAACTTTCAATTGAGTTAAATACATGGGAAACAAAAATCTTCTCTATTATTATAAAATGTTTAAATTGTATTTACAGCATTTTCCACTATAGATACCGTACCAAAAATTTTTCATGTACTTGTACATATTTTAATTTATACACTATTTTTCCTGTTGTTTATTTATATAATTACTAGCTGTAACCCGCGGGCTTTGCCCCGTTTAACTTCTTAATTTTCAAGATTATCTCGTTCGCATGGCTCAATCACGTCCTGGTTGAAGTTTGTTTGCTACGCTCACTCACCTTTAGGTTGGAGCTCGTTCGCTACGCTCACTCACCTTTAGGTTGGAGCTCGTTCGCTGCGCTCACTTGCCTTCAGGTTAGCTCGTTCGCTACGCTAACTCGCCTCCAGGTTGAAGTTCGTTCGCTACGCTCACTCACCTTTTGGTTGCAAATTAGCTGTTGTCATAAATGTAAAAGACATAATAGTTCTGCACCCTGTTGGTAATCCTTGTAACTTTAATGCTATTGAACATCATAGAACAGAACCAACTTGTTTAATTGAAACAGCTGTTCAGATTCAATAATTCCATTTCTCATAAGGTTAACATGGGAAACTCCAGACCCACTGGGGCGGAGCCCGAAAGGATTTTTGAAATAAGAATATGCCTATATGTTAATTGGGAATGTGAGCTATCATCATGCCAAATTTCAGCCCAATCCGACCAGTATTTTTTGCGTTCACTTGTCACAAACATACATCCATACATCCAAACTTTCTCATTTATAATATTAGTAGGATATCCCAATGAAAATGTATGGGATACTATACTGATTTTAATTGAAACTAAAGTTATTAGTTTAAAATGTGTAGTGTTACTCGTAGTGTTCTTTTGAAAATTCACCGGCTTACATTTTTGTTGCATTGCAACTACCTGTATCATTAAGCTATTTTGTCTACTTTTAAAAGTAAAAATGCCAAAACCATCAAAGCTAACACAAATTAAATAGGATTAATAAAAAAAATGTTTTATTCCTGCATTAGGTTTTTGAAATTTTTTACAAATTGAAACAATAAAAGGGCCAAGATAGCAGTGCACATTTTATGATCCATATTTTAAACTTTGAATTAATTAAAAACAATTGACCGTTGCATCAAACCCGCAGACCCAGCAAATTTCCTTAAACATTTCAGATCTAATCCCTATTTAAATTATACTAGACTGTATAGAGTCGTGTTTAGTTTACAACAATTTGTTTCTTGTTATTTCAGTAATTTAAAACATTGTTAAACCAAATAATACCCCTGCCGCAGCAAACCTGCAGACTAAGCGAATTTCTATTTGCCTGATTAGATTTACACTAAAATGCTGCAACAGGGAGGGTAAAAGTGTTTTTTCATGTAAAATGTTAATAGTTAAGTAAGAAATAAATGCATTTTCCAAATTTGATAAAAATATGTTTATAAACAAGCAAAATACAACAGTTTACTTATTCTCCATTAGGATGGGAATTTTAAATTTAAAATCTTTTAGAATTTTCTCATAAGGTTTCATGTAATATAATAATAATAATAATAATAATAATATCGTGATAATTTTTGCTCAAGGTATCGTGCTAACAGACACATATATAAATAAATCTATATCTATAAAAGAGGAAGTATGTATGTACCCTATGGACTCCGAAACCACTTGACAGATTGCAATGAAACTTACAAGCATTATTAAGCTTTATTCAAGGATGGTTTGTGTGAAGTTTAGTGCAGACATAGATAAAATATACTCCCTTAGTGGATTTCTCATCCTTATAGAACAGCTGAAGACAATTTTATTGTTAGTTCTGTACGGTTTATGTAGAGTTCGTGTTTTGTTTACAATTTGTTTCCTGTTATTACAGCCATTTAAAACCTCGTTTAACCAAATAATACGATCTAATCATAAACAATAACTTGTCCCCTAGTTATATAACCAAACAGTAAAGCACAAATCAAGAAATTAACCCTAAAATAATAGAAACAAAGTTTCGTCGACACTAGCGCCCATGTGTCACGTACATGAACTAGACACGAAAAACGTGCTTCAAAATTTACAATGGGATGAGAAGTCAACTTGTGTTGGTTAGTCTATGGTGCAGATCCGTCAAAACCAAAAAAGACTCCGCCCCAGTGGCTCTGAAGTTTCTTATGTTAACCTTTATTGAGTACTCATGTTTAAATGGAATTAAAGAATCTTAACAGCTGTTTCAACTAAACTATTTGATTCTATGATGTTCAATAGCATTAAATAGTTATAAGGTTTACCAACAGGGTGCAGCACTATTAATTGTTTAAATTTATGACGACAGCTAATTTGAACCAAGCAGTAACAAAATATTTATGTATATATTTTTTATATATATATATTTATATATATATATATTTATATATGTGTCCGTTAGCGCGATAACTCGAGCAAAAATGATCCGATTTTGATGAAATTTGGTACAAACGTGTAAACCTAAGTTTATTTTAACGAGTTTGCGAACCAGCGTGATCGGACTATGGGAACAGGGGTCTATGGGGGGTTTTATGGGGTAAAAATTGGGTTTTCCCATTTTTGACCCTAAAAACACAAAATTTTGCAATTTCTTTCCTAACCAATTTGTAGAGCTTAAAAAAACAAATAATTTAGTATATTGAAGCGTTGTTATGCGCCTAATGGTTATGGAGAAAATTCCAAAAAACTGTAAATTTAAAATTCTTATGTTATTCTTATGGAGAATAAATAAACTGTTGTAGTTTGCTTGTTTGTGAACATATTTTGATAAAATTAGGAAAATGCATTCATTTATTACTAAACTATTAATATTTTACAAAAAAAACCTTTTTACTCTCCCTGTTGCAGCAAACCTAAGTTCTCTTTAAACCATAGATAAAAGGAGTATAGACATATATATGTCTATACTCCTTTTATCTATGGTTAAACCAATGCTATTTAAATAGGGAGTGATATTTTTAAGGAGACATTTTAGTGTAAATCCAATCAGGCAAATGGAAATTCGCTTAGTCTGCAGGTTTGCTGCGGCGGGGGTATTTAAATATTTCAAATAGTAATAACGAGAGCTCGCCCCGTGGTCGAAAACTTGACCAAAAGTATGTGTTGTGCAAACTTCTCTATTTTCACCTCACACGCTGTAAATAAAACATGTGATTGGAATGTCTTCCATTTGTTTTGATTTTCTATCTATATTTTGTTGTTATTTTGTCATCACCATGGCAACCCATAATACCCATGTTAATTTTTTTCCAAATTTCAAATTCATTTTTCGTGCTTATTTGTGAGCCTATTTTAATTTATAAAGGGACTCTGCACATCTACAGGTAAATATCTTTCATTTGGTACCAACTGCGTGTAATTCGGTCCGTTCGGTAGTTCGGTAGTAATTCGGTAGTTTACAAGCTACTCACCGGCTTTTTTACACGCAGCTAGTAAAATAGCTCAGTGTGAACGACGTACTCGCTCAAAAGCTGCTTGTAAAAAAGCTCTGGAAAAAGTTGACGCTGCCGCTGCTTTACACGCCAACTTTTGAAAACTCGCCAGCTTTTGAGCGAGTAAGCATGTAAAGTAGCCCAGTGTGAACACAGTTGTTTGCTTGTGCTTGTGCGCGTGTTATTCAAAGATGTCGGAGGATTTGGTTCAAGCGAGTGGAAAAAGCATCGTGTGAACGACTACAAGCGCACTCGCTGACTCACCGGCGTCTTTCTACACGTCAGCGAGATGGCGAGTGGACAAGCTCCGTGTAAACAAATACAAGCACACTCGCCAACTCGCCGGATTCTTACACGCTGGCGAGTAGCTTGTAAACTCGCACCGTGTGAACGAGGCTGTAGTAAGGTCAGGCTAGCTGTCATAAGTTTTGCAAAAGTTTTTTAGTATAAGATAATTAATATCAGCTGTTTCCCTCTGTCTAAAATAAAAGTTCAACCTTTTTATTTTAAAAAATAATTTTTTGTTCCAGCCCAAATGGCTGACTGGATTGACAAATCTGACTCACCTCTATTTGGCTGGCAACAATATGCAGGAGTTCCCTTTTGACGTTGACAAGTTGGTAAACCTGTGCTACATAGAGTTGAGCCGTAACAAATTGGTAACCCTGCCATCCAGCATTGTCAGCCTGAGAAGACTCAGTCATCTTATTGTGGACTTCAACCTGTTACAAGCTCTACCAAAAGGTATAAATACCTTTCTACGACTTTGGTTCAATTTTCTATAATGGTTTTATGTAACGTCTAGGAATTACAACAATTATTATAATAAACGTTTTCAATGAACATAAACAATATTAACAATTTTGTAAACAATATAAACTATTTTATTTAATAGAGTAATGCGGACATTTTTCAGAACATTTCTGGGACATCTGGAATCTGATCCCGTTCTAGGGTGATTAAGTACCTAAATCATAACAAGTTAGTACACAAACCCGGCAGCTGAAGCTGGAAATACATCTTCTAAATAAATAATAAATCGTAAATTTAAAATGTCGTAATTAATTGTGTTGAGTAAACTGTATAAGGAAGAGTTGATACATGGTGAATCCAAGCATTGTCTTCAAGTTTTAAAGGTAATGTGGAGTCAGAAAACTCTTACCCTCATGAATCCACCCATGTTCTTAGCTGTGCATGGTTCGAATACAGGTGGAATGACAAGACTTAATTCCACAGAAATTATCTTCAATAAGTGCTAAAATGTGCTAACAGTTTTTACTAAAGAAATAAATACGTTGTTTGTTGCTTTACTGGTTGTTGTGTCACAACGGAATAATTATTTCAGTACTGTCATTTGAGGGGAAGGAATTAATGAGAGAAATGGTGGATAATGAAGTGGAGGGAGTCATTAGCTATAGCCGGTTTTTAGTTCATTTTAGAAATCAAGCACTGCATTTCCAGCTGAATATATTTTTATCGTAATAATAAAAGTGGCATATTTTTGTTTCGCACCATTAAACACAACATGTGTCTGTAAATCTTTTCAGAATATTAAAAAAAGTTGTAATAAAGCTCTATTGTAATACAGAAATAAGGGAAACCATACAATTTAAATATTTGTTTTATGAAGGATGCATTTGAAAAAGATTAAGGATTTTAAATTTTAAAATCTGTTAGTTAAAAAAACTTGTAAAACCAATTACCTTAAAATGACTCATTTTTATACAGGAATTCAGGTTATATTATTTTAGGAGGAAACACAAAACTCTGTCCCCAAAACAGTTATTTTAGAATACAATTGTTTTCATAATACCAAATAATCCCTTCCAGTTATACTGATTTAATGAATTGTTCTCAAACACAATAGTGAATATCTCATTGGGATTGACACTATCCTGGCTGTAGTTGGATTTGTACATGAACAAAACTACACTGGCTCTCATTAAATAAAAGTTAATATCTACACAATAATTATATGTTTGTTTTATTTTATACTAATTTTGTCTCATACCCACTCATACTTCAACTTGAAACTAATGGTGACTGCCGGAAATCGTAAATGTATCTATCAGGTTGTAAACGTCTAGTTTGAAATAACTCGTTAAAAACATGTAAGCCTTTACTAGCATTTTATGTGATATACGTGTTTGCTGACATTTGACAGTTACTTTTGTGCTCTTCCGTGACATTTCACTTGACATCAGCTGGCAAGAGTTCTAAATTGAGTTTGCTGACATAACTGACTCAACTGTCATAACTGACAAGGTTAATAGCTTCATAAATTACCACTGATGCTAAATTTGGTGATGCTCTTCTTGCGAAATTAAAGATTAACAAATATTGTTCAAGTTATAGTATATTGGGCTTCTAAATCAATGGACCTGGACCTGGCAAAAGAAACTAGCATATTAGTCAGTAACAGTAACGCTAAAGAAATATTACACAAGTAGATCTCATCATAGTCACACACTCTTTTATTGATATTTGGGTGAAGTACTGATACCTTTGCATGGGAGGAATAAAAATACAAATAAAATATAGTACTAATAGTTAGGAGATCAATTATCCACTACATTTATATCAGGCTAGCAGCTCAACAAAGTTTTACAGAGGAAATAAAAAAAGTGTATTTAAAGTCATATGAAGTACTGTAAGTTGTTACAGAAAGCCAATCTTGTCATATATTGTTAAACTTATTAGTGTCTGGTGTTTACTTTATGTGTGAGTTCAGAGAATTTAACTTTTACAACTACCAAGATCTCTAATCAATCTTAGCTCATTTGATATTCTGTGTTGTATCTTTTCTCTGCATGCATTTATAGAAATAATATACAAATCTTTCTCAGTACACCTCTACAGAGTTGATGTACAAATCTTTGCACAACTTTTAAGAGTTTGCAAAGTATGTTCTTCTACAAAATATTCCGTAAATCAATGATTATGAAGATGCATACTAAATCACTGGTTGATGCAAGTAGGTGAACATGAATGCAGGAATCACCTGACACCTGACACACATGTTGCAACATATGTTATCTCAGCTGTAGCCTGATGTTCCAGAGCTGGGCAGGCTGAAGGCTCTCTACATGCTGCACGTTAACGACAACCAGCTGCGTGTTCTGCCCGAGTCTGTGTGTCAATGTGTCAGTCTCTCCGAACTGTGCCTTCACAACAATCAGCTGACCAGCCTCCCCCAGCCGATTGTGAGTGATGACAAACCGAAACGTAATGAAAAACACAATATGCAATTATAGAAAGAAGTCTATGTTTACTTTACACAGGTAGGGGTGTTCCTGATCGAGTCGTAATTCACTAGATGAGATGTTCTATAAGTCTTTTTAAGTAAAAATAATACAAGTCAAAGTATTTAACGGTTTTAATGATAACCAAATCCAAGAAAATGACATCTGAGGTGAAGAAAAGTAAATAAATTAAATAACAGCTGGTAAATATAACCACAGAGGTTGAACATCTTACCATTTAAGTTTCTTTTTTGAGTCTAGTCAGGAAAACGTTATATAGATTTTAAACAGGGCCGGTTTAACCCATTCGCGAACTACACAGTCGCATATGGCGCCACGAAAAAGTGGCGCCAACGGGCACAACGTTTTTTTTTTCAGAATTGGAAACAACTTTACTGACGAGTGAACAACTTAATTTTGTTTTTTTTCGCTCAGAGTTTAAGTATCCAAAGCACCACATCAAAGGCATTTATTCTGTTTGTACCACAGAACTTGAAAAATGCATATATAATATGCGGTGGGGTTTGGGGGGGGGGGGGAATTCTAGGTGGCGCTGATTCGGGTGTTTGCTTAACTCTGAAAAATTCCTAGAACCGGCCCTGATTTTAAAACTCTACCTCTGGAGTCCTGGAGGGATCGTTTAAGTGTAAGTTCCTCTCTCTCTGCGCATTCTAGATGGTGTTGTAAAGGGATTTTTGTTGGTGTTTTTGATGGGGAAGTAGGTGTTTGGGTAACAGATGTAAACGGCAGAGAGAGTAACATTGAAAGCACATTAATTGGTTTGAATTCTTAGCATAAAAATAAATAAAACACATAAGAACTTGTCCTAACAGATGAATGCAGAAATATTAGTTTTAAAACTGTTCATACTTGTTTATAGGATTGAGGAAGTAAATTAAATAAAATATCCTTATCACTATGTCCTGTAAGTAGCATAAACCTTTGATTGATTGACTTTGTAAGTAAAAATTGAATGAGTCAAAGCAACTAAACTGTTTTAAAATAACCAAATGCAAGACAGAAACATCATGTCTTGAAGAAAGCAAAATACATTGACAGCTGATTATAAATGATAAAATAATAAACATATACGTTGAACATCAGCTATACGCCAAGCTGTGCACACTCACTTTCGAAGCTCATAGAAGTCTAAATGAGTGAGTTTGTCAACTTTGAATCAAGATCAAGCGTTTGATGAAAGAACTTTAGTGGCAGCACACAGATTCTAGCTTTCTCAATTTTATTTTTCTCCCAGATGTCTCCCTTATCACAGTGAGATTACTCATGGGAAGGGGTGATATTGCAACCAATCCAATCATTTTTTTAAAGCTGTTTAATCACATCAGTTTAAGTACTATTTAGATTTGCATTGCTAAAAGGTAAATTGATTTTTGGCCTCGCCAACAAGTTGCCTCTATATTGTTTTCTGTCTGCTGCTTGGTCAATTTATACACTTTCCGCAACTGGTCTCCTCCCCCCCCCCACGGTAGTTTGGGTCTTCCTTGTGGCCGGGTCCCTCGTGGTCAAAAAAGCCAAAAACCAACTTAAGTTTGAATGGCCAAGGACGTAAGTAAAGGGTAAATTGAACATTTAATTCAATAAATTGAAAAACCAAACAAACTTTTGGTCATGACAGAGATAATATGTATGAATGTTTGAATGTCTGACAGGTGTATCTGCCCAACCTAGAGACCCTGTCCATACATGGTAACAATTTGCTATATCTTCCGAGTATCCGTTTCGTCTGCAACTGCCACCTGACGTTCTACAACAACCCTCACCTCAACTATCTCAGCTACCACCTGACCTACGGTCATGATGGGGACTTGCACCACCTCATGTCCGGGTATGCCTTCTTTTTCTCTCGTCAAATAATTATCAGAAAGTGCCTATTTTATGCTGTCTTTATTTTATATGCTGTTTAAAAAAGGTGTAAAATGCAGTAGTATTACACTTTTGTTTGTTGGTATTTTTATGATTCAATTTTTCTCATGAGTCTATTTATAACTCAATTAATATACTCCAGAATATATTTTAGCAAATTTCAATTATTTATTCAACTAAGGTATTTATCCAAGTCGTCTCTGTTACAGCTGCGGTGGCAGTGTAGAGGACATTTCCGAGTTGACCAACCTGGTGTTGACGATCCCCCAACATCAACGCCACCTGGTGTTACCTAATGGATTAACGCACGCCTTCTCTCGTCCTGGTGTCCCTTCGCTGTTTGAACTAGCATTGCGAGCAACATATGCTCACACATACAAGATAGAGGAGCAAAACCGATACAGTGACAAAGAAAATTTGGAAAAACTTCCCTTAAAGTTGCAAAAACTGTTATACTATGGCCCCACCAGTAACTGCGTCATGTGCAACAGAAACATTTTTCAAGAAACGTTTCTTTCAGTTTTCCTCCGAAGTCATATTTCTGAGCACCGCAAACTGTTTGCCGTGATGTTCCTATGTTCGGCTCGTTGCCTTTCTCTTTACACCAGCCGAGTCTATGAATCCACTGTAGAGAAAGTTCAGTGGTATCAAGCACTGTAAATTTTATGATGTGCTCATATGTATATACTGTTTGTTACCTTTTTGTACGAGTTAAATAAAGTTTAAAAACTAAATGCTCTTTGACTTTTTATTTTAAACTAATCTCTCCTAGTGGGTAGGATGGATCAAAGGTAGGATGGAGACAAAAGAATTACATATAGACTGACCAAGGAAGGTTTCGCAATGTGCCGCTAGAGTGTGCTCAGTGTTCGTCAACTCTCTGCCGTCGTTGACTCACCGTATGCTACCATAGCACTACCACCCTTGCAAACGAAATGCTACCAAAGTATCAGACCCACTTTTCAATCTGGGTTAAGTAAATAATTATTCTGAAATTCCGTGATTTTAACGGAAAATTCCTTTTTTATCACCAGACATTTTTATTTTCGCTCTCAAAGTCAAAGTAAAATCATTTATTTCCAGAAATTGAACAATACAATACACAGATACATATTAACAAGGAAATATATTTTTCCTACAGTCACCCGACAAAGTTGGCTTCCTTGTACTGTTTATAGTACAGAAAGCTGCTAATTGCTGCATATTTATACTTTGCCGTACGGTTTATACTTTGCCGCACATCAGGATTCCAACGAAACCACACAAAACAGCGTGGTTCTATTATGCACGTAATCCGTGTACGCTTGGAAATAGGTTGGCAACACTTAAAGATAATAATACTATGAGCAGCTGATTGACTATTATAACTACGATTTAACCTGTCATTTTGTGTTTATAGTTTCGGTATTTCTGAACCTTCTGGACTTTTCTTTTAAACGTTTTTAAAACACTCCTACAATCTTAATAAACAAGAAAATACCTTTAAAGCATTTTTTTAGGCGCGGAAACCACTTCAAATTACAAAAACGTACGGAAATATATTCTCAAAACGCGGAGCACATTTCTTGCCGAGGGAAAAATAGCGGAGTGATACGGAACGCGGGTACTACTTTCTCTAGGGCACCATTTGTGTTGCCAGCTGGACCTAAAAACGTGCTGTATAGTGTTTGAAAGACTAATTATTTATATGCTTTATAGTGACTGTAGGAAAAATATAATGTGTAACACGAGTGCAAAAGGCCATCGTTGCACTCGAGATCATTCCGCACGAGCCGCAGCCTCGTGCGTAAACATTGCTCTCGTGTGCAGCAAAGTGCCACTTTGACCCCCTAGTTACACAAATAACTATTTCCCCATAGGCATAATAAGCCTGTGTGCGGAAAAAGAGTTCTAAATCTGCTAATGTACAATAACTATTACATTGTGGATATACAATAATTTTATTTAACATGTATTAAAATTACTGGGTGACTATATTCCTTAAAAATAAGTAAATATTAAATAAAAACGTTATTGAAAAGTTAATATGTAACAAATAAGGACAAATAACCCAATATGTAATTTAGAGTATCTTATACTCTAAATACGAGCAATGTTTGCTTGTATGTATGTATGCTTGCTTGCTTCCAGAAATATCTTGAAAACGGCTCCGACGATTTTCTTCAAATCTTGTAAATAGCTCATTTTTGGCCTAAAAACGAGTTTACTGCACTTAGAACTGCCACAAAAATCTAATTACGTAAAAGATGAAACTGAAAGTCACATTTTTTTAACATTAGTCTTATGGGTTGCTATGTAACCATGTTGGTTGAATTGAATGGATAACAAGGGAAAAGTAAACAAAAGACTTGTAAGTAGTCTATCTACAGTATACTAGCAATTACAAAATACAGTACAAAAGGAAAAACATCAGTTCTCAGTTGTTACTATTGAGCAAAGATTATACTGAAGATTACTCGATACATTGTAGCAGGACTTTTTTTATCTATGATTGTAGTAAAGGCTAGCAGTGTGGAGTGTGGGAACTGTATATGACGATTAGATTAAGGTATCTGCAATCTTATAATGCAATGGGAAGGGAGGAAAACAGGTCCACGACGTAGGAAGTGGTGAAGGAAGTAGTAAAGGCGAGCTGTCCGGAGTGTGGGAACTGTTAATTGAGCGAAGCGAGCGAAGCTCTTATATTTCGACTCTTATGCATTTCGTAATACAAACTCCTCCTAGACGGCTGAATCAATCGTTTTCAAATTTTGCATGGGGATAAAGACCATACCGGTGAGTGCCAACATCTATATGGCGTTAAAAAAGTTTTAGGGATCCGCCCCACTGGGTCTCAAAGTTTCAATGTAATCCTTATGGAAGCAGTATTTGACACATAAACGAAGACATATGATCAGCTGTTGACTTTTGAATGCAGTAGATAAAGAAATAGCTGATAGCATTATTCCACAGATATTAGAACAGAAACGGTATGGATCATAAATGTAATCAAATGACGACATTAGCTTGAGGTCCGTGACGTAGGAAGTGGTGAGGGAAGTAGTAAGGGTGAGCAGTCTGGAGTGTGGGAACTGTTTATGACGATTAGATTAAGGTATCTGCAATCCAAAAATGCTATGGAAAGGGAGGGAAACAGGTCCGTGACGTAGGATGTGGTGAAGGAAGTAGTAAAGGCGAGTTGTTCGGAGTGTGGGATCTGTTTATGACCAATAGATTAAGGGATCTGCAATCCTAAAATGCTATAGGAAGGGAGGAAAACAGGTCCGGGACTTAGGAAGTGGTGAAGGAAGTTGTCAAGGCGAGCTGCCCAGAGTGTGGGAACTGTGTATGACAATTTAATTAGATTAAGGTATCTACAATCTTAAAATGCAGTGTGGAGTGTGGGAACTGGAAACCGTTTGTAGCAGTTAGATTAATGTATCTGCAATGCTGAAATGCTATGAGAAGGGATGGAAGCATGCCCACGACATAGGAACTGGTGAAAGAAGTAGTAAAGGCTAGCAGTGCGGAGTGTGGGGAATGTTTGTGGCAATTAGATTAACGTATCTTAAATACTAAAATGCTATGGGAATGTGATGAAAACAGGTCCACGACGTAGGAAGTGGCTTAGGAAGTAGTAAAGTATGAGCATAGTGTGAGAACCGTCTGTAGCAGTTAGATTCATGATGAATCTAACTGCTACAGACGATTCATGTATCTTCAATCCTAAAATACTATGAGAGGGGAAGGAAACAGGTCTATGACGTAGGAAATGGTGAAGGAAGTTAAGGCTAGCAGTGCAGAGTGTGGGAATTGTCTTTAGCAAATATATTAATGTATCTGCAATCCTAAAAAGCTATGGGAAGAGAGGGAAACAGGTCCACGACGTAGGGTGTGGTGAAGGAAAAGGTGAGCAGTGTTGAGTGTGGGAATGAATTAATGTGTCTGCAATGCTAAAATGCTATGGGAAGAGACTGTAGACTGTAGATTAAAATGATTACGAAGCAAGAATCAATACATATTTTCGATATATTCAATTGTTTACAATCGAAATTTCCAACTGAGTTGACAACAGCTGATGTTTACTCCATAGAGGCTAAAAAACGATTTTTACTCCCTAAAGAGTAAAAATGCTACATTAGACCCGCAACGCATTCATTAAAACGACTGTTTTTACTGCAGTATGACAAAAACAATATAATATGAACCCTTGATGACTCCGCTCAATTTTGTGGATGCCTCTGCGAACGCCACCTAGTAAGGATTAGATTAAGGTATCTACAATCCTAAAATGCTATGGGAAGGGAGGGAAACAGGTCCACGACGCAGGAAGTGGTGAAGGAAGTAGTAAAGGCAAGCAGTCCGGAGTGTGGGAACTGTTTATGACGATTAGATTAAGGTATCTGCAAACCTAAAATGCCGTGGGAAGGGAGGTAAACAGGTCGGCGACGTCACAGAAAATATACTAGTTAGTATATTTTCTATGGCGACGTCGGAAGTGGTGAGGGAAGTAGTCAAGGCGTGCTGTCCGGAGTGTGGGAACTGTTTATAATGATTAGATTAATGTATCTGCAATCCTAAAATGCTATAGGAAGGGTGGGAAAAGGTCCATGACGTATAGGAAGTGGTGAAGGAAGTAGTAAAGGCAAGCTGGCCGGAGTGTGGGAACTATTAATGATGATTACATTAAGGTATCTACAATCCTAAAATGCTATGGGAAGGGAGGGAAACAGGTCCACGACGTAGGAAGTGGTGAAGGAAGTAGTAAAGGCAAGCAGCCCGGAGTGTGGGAACTGTTTATGACGATTAGATTAAGGTATCTGCAAACCTAAAATGCCGTGGGAAGGGAGGGAAACAGGTCCGCGACATAGGAAATGGTGAGGGAAGTAGTTAAGGCGTGCTGTCCGGAGTCTGGGAACTGTTTATAACGATTAGAATTATGTATCTGCAACCCTAAAATGCTATGGGAAGGGAGGAAAACAGGTTAACGACGTAGGAAGTGGTGAAGGAAGTAGTCAAGGCAAGCTGGCCGGAGTGTGGGAACTATTAATGACGATTACATTAAGGTATCTACAATCCTAAAAAAAATGCTATGGGAAGGGAGGGAAACAGGTCCACGACGTAGAAAGTAGTGAAGGAAGTAGTAGGTGAGCAGTACCGTAAAATGGGGTGAATAGAAACACTTTTTGACTTTTAAGCTTCTGTAAAAACGATATTTTTAATTTTTAAATTTTCAACACTAACTCATATTTCCGGTCTTGGACTCTTTACTTAAACCAGTTATCAATTTTCTTTTCTTTTTAATCATTAAGCAGAAAAAAAATAAAATATGGCTGTGTCTATTCACCCTGCACTTTGGGGTGAATAGAAACACTGTGTTAAATTGATGATTGTTGCTTTTCCCCACTTACCAGGGGCAATAGGAACATGAAATTTATGCTTGTTAGCTTAGGTTGTTGTAAATAAAAATATTTAAAGTTAATTAACACATTTATTTATAAGTACGAAGTATAAAAACATCGTTTTCATAAACCCTTATCCAAACAAATCGGAGAACATAAATGACAATGGGTGAAATCAGAGTTACAAAATCTTACATAGAAACCAACTAAATGAAGAGTAAAATCAGACAAATCTTCCTCAAAATACAACACAAGTTGTACACGGCTTGGGAGTTGGAAGCCGACGTACTACGTCATCGACTTTGAAGAGGGCCTATTAATCTGTCCCTCAGAACTTGTTGGTTTGCGCAATTTTCTTGATGAATCTTCCTATTTATCCTTCCTGTCAAATTCAATAACTTTTGCAACATATAAACGATAGCAAGTTTTGTTTTTCCCCATCACTTTGACAATTACATGATCATGAAGGGACAACTTTGAAGACTCACTGATGTCTTGAGTTAGGTTTGCTGGTTCTTCTTCATCAAATTCATCAAATCAAAGTCTTTGTCACTTTCTTCCAGTGAGAAGTGTGACTGATGTGGAATCATCTTCATCTCTGGTAATTTTTTTCTTTTTTGGGTGGTTTTCAGATCCACATTTATTTGCACCACTGGTTCCAAAAAAAGTGTTTCTATTTACCCTGGTGTTTTGCAAAATCATGACATAACCTAAAATAAAAATAAAGTAAAAAAATATAGTTTATTCTAAAGGCCAATCTTAATCTATTAACACACTTGGTTTTAAGATACCTAAGACAATATAAAAAATGGTTATCTATCTATATATTAATAGGCAAGCATGTTTCTTTAAAACCTTTTTTCTCAGCTTGTGTGCATCGTGGGGTAAATCTGCGCATACCGTTAGAAAGCAATTTTCATGTAGGTGTGCAGAATCCCTTTATAAATTTAAATAGGCTCAAAGATAAGCACAAAAAATGAGTTTAAAAATTTGAAAAAATTAACATGGATCTTATGCGTTGCCATGCTGGTGACGAAATAACAACGAAATATAAACAGAAAATCAAAACAAATGGAAGAAACTCCAATCACATGTTTTATTTACAGTGTGGGGTGAAAATAGAGAAGTGAGTACATTACATATTTTTGGTCGAGTTTCGACCACTGGACGACCTCTCGTTAACATAAATACTAATAGGTTCATACTTAGAGAGAAAGTTTTGAAAAGAATGTTATTCCCCAAAATTTTCAAATGAGGTTTGCATGCATCATCCAACATCCGAAGCAGTAATACCAATATGCTGAAATAATTTTTCGCAGGTAGATAGGATATGGTTATAATGGAGGAAAATAATTTCCTTATATAAAGTCAATGTATACTGTAACAAAGTTATAAAAATGTGAATCATTCATTGAAGTTTTGTTTCTATTCACCCCATTCTACGGTAGCAGTAGGGAGTGTGGGAACTGACGATTAGATTAAGGTATCAACAGTTCTAAAATGCTATGGGAAGGGAGGGAAACAGGTCTGCGACGTAGGAAGTGGTGAAGGAAGTAGTAAATTCAAGTACAGTAGTCCGGAGTGTGGGAACTGTTTAAGACGATTACATAAGTGGATTAGGAAGTGGCGAAGGAAGTAGTACAATGTAGCGATTCTCAACTCTTGATACCAATGCCAATTTTTTTTTTTTAATTTAACCAAATTTTTGAATTTTACACCAAACCCTGTCTTTATTTTTATGTAATGGGGTGTTTTCAAGTAAAGAAAATGCAGCAACAAAAAATTCTAACTAGCCAATTTGGATTTTTTGGATGATGAAAATCTTCCACGACCAAGCAGACATTAACTGCCTCGGACGTCATCGTCGCCGTTTGCGATCGCGGCAAAATTATGATCATTTCCCGCGGCCGTGTCTACGAAGTTTCAAAATTTTCACGCGTAGACATCATCATTGACTCCCGCGGCCACGGAAACGTCATCGTGGGATCTGGGGGGGGGGACTAAGCCCCCCCCCCCTTTAGCCGTCACTGGGCTCTTGCCTGCAACATAAAATGGTACCCAACATTGTGGAAGTGGAAGTCAATGACGTTGAAGAGATATTGACTAAAATAGTAATCGCAAGCATGGTGTATTTTGAATAATCTTTGTTGGAACATTGATTGGGTTATCCATAGTCAATGGTTGGAGATAGTCATGTCTAAGAATGTACTGATGTATTTTTTTATGTTTTGCGCTATATAATGCATTTTTGTAATACAGGGTGAGTTTTAATTGTCCCCCCCCCCAACTTTTTTCTACATTTTTTCAAATATCAATCCCAGACCACTTCCAAACATTGTTGGGTAGTAAGTACTTCATTTTGACAAGGTGGTCATTTCCGGCGGCCATCTTGGATCCGCCATATTGGATGCAAAATTTTTTTTTCAAATGTAAAGGTGGGGTTGTGACCCATTATTTCAAACTAAATTTTTACCCTGATTACAATGCCGCAAACTGTTTTTAAAAATCTTGATTCATTCTAAAGTTACGAGGGCTTTTTAAAACTTTATTTTTAGCCCATTTTAACATTGTGCATTTACAAACTAAGACCATAATCCCAAAATAGTGCTAGATAATGATAAGTATACACTACCAGTAATTGTCCACTTATTTTCACTTGGTTATGACTGATGTATTTTTTTCGGCCGCCATCTTGGATCCGCCATTTTGAAATGTGATAAATTATTTTAAATATGAAGGGGGTGTTGTGACCCATCATTTCGAACTACTTTTTTAAGTTGAACTTAATTCCATAATCCGTTTTTCATTTTCATTTTTTTGATTTTGAAATATTGACATTTTTAACAAAACAATTTCAATATTTCATCAACAAAACTTGATAACAAAAAATGGATTGCGGCATTGAGTTAAGCTTAAAAAAGTAGTTCAAAATGATGGGTCACAACACCCCCTTCATATTTAAAATAATTTATCACATTTCAAAATGGCGGATCCAAGATGGCGGCCGAAAAAAAATACATCAGTCAAAACCAAGTGAAAATAGGTGGACAATTACTGGTAGTGTATACTTATCATTATCTAGCACTATTTTGGGATTATGGTCTTAGTTTGTAAATGCACAATGTTAAAATGGGCTAAAAATAAAGTTTTAAAAAGCCCTCGTAACTGTAGAACGAATCAAGATTTTTAAAAACGGTTTGCGGCATTGTAATCAGGGTAAAAATGTAGTTCGAAATAATGGGTCACAACCCCACCTTTACATTTAAAAAAAAAATTTTGCATCCAATATGGCGGATCCAAGATGGCGGCCGGAAATGACCACCTTGTCAAAATGAAGTACTTACTACCCAACAATGTTTGGAAGTGGTCTGGGATTGATATTTGAAAAAATGTAGAAAAAAGTTGGGGGGGGGGACAATTAAAACTCACCCTGTATGTAAAAGGTTCTTAATAAACTTCATGGGTTTTAAGCCAATAAATTTAAATAAACCAATTGGTTCATACACATTACCAAATGTATAGCCACTACTTTCAATTATATCGTTAGTTGTGTTTTTAACCTGATACATGCAGACAGACAGTACAGTACAACAGTCGACAGTTTTACAGTTTTTAGTTTAAGTTTAAGATGGCAGCTGCTTTGACGCCCGAGCAAGAGAAGGTATTTAGATAATTTTTTAACTTATTATATTATTTTGTCTAAGTTTTTGCGATAATTTGTTTCACCTACCTTATATAACAAAATTATATAATATAACCTGTGTCCATACATAAACCAAATTCCGAGTTAGACCTAGTTGAAATGTATGACATGGGATAGGCCGTGTAACTAAGGAGTAAAACTGCGTTTAATATGTGATTTTTAAGTTAACTTAAAGCCAAACCTATTTTAAAAAACCGAAGAAGAGCTTGAAATAATGCATGTTATTAAAATAAGCACTTTTCCTAACAATTTTTTAAAGAGCTTTCGCAATTTGGTTCTATCTTGTTGCTTTCCTAACCTAATTTCAATTCTGAGGAAGTAAGAGTAGGCTATGCCAAATTTAAGGGTCCCGGTCCATTATACTGTATAGTCAATTATAGCATATTTGACAAAATCTCTTAACATAAAACTAAAATTTGGCTGTCTTATGCTAGGTTTTTGGCGGCTAAGAAATGTGTTGAGAGATAGCAGAAGGTTGAAACTTACAACTCGAATGTAGGTAGTCGCCTAGCCCATTAAAAATCTTATTTACACAAAACGTTTACATACTTGGAATTTTCCACATGTAAGTTAGGCCTAGCCTAAATGATTGGGGAACAATTTTTACATTAAGGGGAGACTGAACCTTTTATGTCTTAAAAAATTAAATTTTTGTTTTTTGTCTAAAATTAATCTCCGTTTTTTCCTGATTAAGAAAATGTATAATACTTAGTATATTAGAAAGCTTCTTATGACAACAATAAATAAACAAAGCTAACTCTACCGAGGTTTCGGCCACACTATTCTTATGGCTTTGAGTGTGTGCTGCAAAGCTTTAAGTGCGTTTTTCCGAAAGTTTGTTTTTTTATCTTTAGGTACACATAGTTCAAAATCTGTAATACATAGAGACTTAAAGTTTTGAATGCATTAGTCTGGGTATTTGGTGAGTACATTAAACCAATCATATATTGATTAGTTATAAATTTTGATTTCCCTACATCTGGCAAGAGGCTCAATGAGCCGAATTTGGCAAGTGTAGTGTGAGATGGCAGAGGCTCATTGAGCCGAATTTGTCATTGGCACACTCAAACTCATATTTCGTTGTGTTATGATGGAATAAATTACTAACAACCTATACTGTCGTGAAGATGAGATTACGGGCTTTATTTTTCATACATAAAACATCTACGGGCGTTTCTATATACGCGTGTGGGAAATTTTGAAAACAGGTGATTTTTTATAGTGCTGTGACAGTGCAGTACAAAACTCTTTGGGCGACTTATTAATAAAGTTTTTTTTATAATTTAGGCCTATTTCTTTTTTGTTTGTACAGTTTATAGCCTATAACCATGCTTGTAAATATACTTTCTTCATTATAAGTTTATTTCTAATTTAGGCCAAGGCTATTTCATTTTTTTGGTTGGCAACCAATTTTTTGCGTAGGCTTAGCCGATTTTAATTTTGTATGCCAAATACAATGTAGGCTTACTTTGTAAATATTTGTAATAATCATATTTAGTCATAAAATATATATTTCAATGTTTTTCAACCCAGTTTATGACTTGTTTTTTTTCACCATATCACTTTGTAATGACTTGTCACTTTTTTCGAAAATGAATTTTTCGGTTGCGACTTTCTACAAAACACTCTATAGGAGACTTATAACTTAGGTTTAGCAAAAAACACTATATATATTCTAAAAGTACATAAAATTAGTAACAAAATGTATATCTCAGAATTTCATACATGAGGTATTGAAGATTTTATAATCATTTCATTCATGCGAATATGTTATACATTTTTCATAAAAAATGTAGAAGTTGTTTATATTTTGAGTTTTTTAATTTTTTCAGTTGCAAATATCAGTAAAATACAAATATTTATTGAAAGCCCTATGGTTTTTGAGTATAAACATGCAACTTTTATTGACTCTTGGAATTTATTACTATTTTTGACATCACTCAAAATTTTATTTGCGTTTTTTTTGTGAAAACACATTTTGAAAGATTTATTGACTTTTTACTAATCCTTTTACAATTATTCCAAAAGTCTTTATATTACTATGTAGAGTACTAAACTGCCAAACTTTTTCCAATATATGTTTATAAGAAAAAAAAATTGTAAAACTTCTTATAATCAATAAAATTTCAAATTTTATTTTTCAAAGTAAAAAAAAAAAAACTTATCTCTTTGTTACTATGGCAACTATGAGTAAAAAAATAAATAACTTTCACTAAATTGTTCATTGTTTTGTGCTGAATCAGAATAACTTATATATAATTTATTGTGTTTTCCATTCAATATAACAGAGTTATTAACAGTTTAATGAGGCCACTACCAAAGTTGACCAATACCTCTGCCATCTCACAGGTGCACGGCTAGCAGACGACGCCGCCAGATCTAGGGTTAAAAAATAATTTATTTTTATTTTTAGAATATCGCATAAAAATTCGTATTTTTTAAATGATTGAAAATCATTTTTATATTGATATATTTCTTTAAAAAGTGGTTTAACATAAAGATATGGATGTGATAGTTAAGTGTGCAAAAAATCAGTATGATAGGTTTAGTAGTTTTCGTGCTATATGTACTTGAACTTGTAGCAAATACCCATTTAAAAAGCATTGAACCAGAAAAGGTACAGTCTCCCCTTAAATGGACACATGGGATTTTAAAAGTAGGCCTAATTTTGACACTAACTTAACTTAACTTAATACTTAAAATAGGCCTAAGACCTATAAAATGCATAGTGCACTCTAAAATAAATGAAGGGAACCATATTTTAACCTATCCTAACCTAACTTATACTATCTAACTTAGGGGACAGTACTTAGAAATCGGGGTTATTGGGGCTAGGCCTACCTAAGTAGGGAAAAATTATAATTCGTAAGCAAGTTACCTTGAGGGTAGGTTGGATTAGGTAAGGTAAAGTTTAAGTTATACTGTAATGAGCTGAGTTGGTAGTTATGTTTTGACTGCGACACTGCAGTCATTTTCTCTGTAACCAATAACTTAACCAATAACTTTGTGGTGTAATAGTAATTCAATATAATAACTCAATATACAGGGTGGTAAAAAAGTCCCAGGAAAGTTAAATATTTTTAAAAAATAATGCAGATAGAGCTACAATACTTGGTACAAAGTTACAGGGGATAAAACTCTATTTTAACACATATTCAGTGATCCAATAACTCTTCAGGGGGACGGCCCACAAGGAGTCGGAAGAAAATATTAAATGGAAGCATAGGTCAATATGCACATTGAATTAAAGGCCTTTTTTAGTAGAATACAATGCCGCAAACCGCACTTCAAATGGTTGATCCTGCGCAAAATGACAGTTGTTCAAAGATTCATTTAATTTACATTGCTATTATACGCTTTCTCCTCAGGGGGCACAGCCCTAGGAATCGGAAAAAAATTGTTAACGTAAGAATAGGTCGATATGCACATCAAATTAAAGGTCTTCACTTGTAGATTACGATGCCGTAAATTCAAGCTCAAAAGAATGCCTGAGTAAAAAATGGCAGTCGTTCAAAGATTCAAAATGGCGGATTCAAGAAATATTTGAACATCTGCCATTTTGCGCAGGAGATCAACCTTTTGATGTGCGGTTTGCGGCATTGTATTTTAGGCTACTAAAAAAGACCTTTAATTTGATGTGCATATTGACCTATGCTTCCATTTAAGATTTTCTTCCGACTCCTTGTGGGCCGTCCCCCTGAAGAGTTATTGGATCACTGAATATGTGTTAAAATAGAGTTTTATGCCCTGTAACTTTGTACCAAGTATTGTAGCTCTATCTACATTATTTTTTTAAATATTTAACTGTCCTGGGACTTTTTTACCACCCTGTAAACTTACTAATGATTAGTTTTCAACCATTAATGTAGGCTACCGATGACATAATTGTTTTTTTTACTTGTTTACATATTATTGTTTGCTCCGCTTAATTGGCGGACCTGAGACTGCCTACCTAGTTGCTAGTGTTAGTAGTTTTCTAAGCTTTTCTAGGCATAGAAGAGTTTGACAATTTTTAGATAGTAATGGTACATGGTAGTTAGTCATTTTATGCTGACAACATGCCACAACACTGAAGGAAACAGTCCTTAAAAAGATAATTGAACCAACACTTTTTTCGTGGCGATTTGTGTTGTCGCATTTTGTGTCCTTTCCTATCTAGTTTTTAGTTATATAGGCCCTTGGCAGAAAAGAAAAACTAAATCACACCATAAGGAACTTTCTGGTTTGATTCAATATGAGCTCAGTCCGGGATTGTTCGGCTGCCCTGCAATATGGCTTACTCTCAAAAAGAAATTGTTCATGGCCATTTCCTGTCCATTTCTTGCCAGCGTAGCCCAATCTTTTAGCCCCAAGAATATTGGCAGCTAGTAACACAACAAAGCCTTTACTTATGAAAATATATGGACAATCATCTATACAAAACCAGTTGTATACCGAACCTGTCATGGGCTGCCACCTGAGCCTTAGGTAGTCTATAAGTTTGATCAAGGGTTATGATAGGCCTACAACCCTTCTGAGGCATTTTACAGAACAGCGCATGTTCTTCGATTGCGTCATGGGCCAAAGAAAAGCACCGCAAACGCTGGGTCGACACTCCCCTTCTTAGGGTCAGCAAGCTTACTCTTAAAGGCCTTCCAAAAAGGTTACCTCTGACCTCTTGAGACTAGACAGACAAAGAATCAAATTAACTGTAGAACTGATAACTGGTCATGGGCAATTTAGGAAAAATTTACTATGTATGGGCTTATTTGATGGTGAACCGATCTGTAGGCGCTGTGGTAGGTCAGAAGAGACAGCCGATCACCTACTCTTTGAATGTAACGAGCTCTCTGATGCTAGAATGATAACTCTTGGTAATCTGGCTAGAGAGGAAGATATCTTCCTGAGGATGAACTTATTGGGAAGCTATAGGCATTCATTGGACACCTTAACTTGTAAGGTCAACAAGAAGACAATTG